CCCCCCGGCCTCCCTTCTTACTTGAAAAGAGGAAGGAGATAGGAGTACTATGAACCATCTGGGATTTGTCTTATGTATTAATACAAGTAGCGGTTCTTGGAAGATTTGTAGACCGGATGGGGGGGATAGAGAAGAGATAGAAGAGGGAAAAGAGGGAGAAAAGGCGAGGTTTATTTATTTCTCCCTTCCTCTTTTCTTCCCCCCGTTACCTTCTACCTTTCTTAGAAAGGGGTAGAAAAATCAGAAGTTGACTCTCTCAATAACTCTGCTGTGAGTTATCTTTATCGCTTGGATTGTCCAAGAATTGCTTGGGTATGAGGAGCCTGTGAGAGAGAATATCCGGCTCTTGTATCTCTTTTGACACAGCAAGGCGGCCTACCTAATTTTTGAACACCAAATGAGTTTCTACAAACTGTTAATAAAACTACTGTGATATCATTGGGAATTGGGCACCAAATGTCGAAATTTGAGAGCGAGGCAAATCCAATTTCAAGCCAAGACGTTTAAACGTAAACAAGAGCCGACAAAAGTACCCCTTTGGAGACAAGGATTTATTAGTAAACTCAATTCTAAAACTAACCTATTATTTTTGCAGTCGGAAAAATTCCCTTGTCGTCCTTTTCGACTTTTCGAAGTAATCAACATCTGGAACAAAATAAAAAATCGCAAAATCGCATCCGAAACGATGGAAATTTACCCCGTATTTTCTAATTCGCCGGTTGGAAAAACCCGCGAGCCAGGACACGGGATGGCATATCCACGTGGAATCCTTCGAGAACAGGCACCCTGTCATTCGTGCCGTGTCAATCCATGGAGAAATAACCAACGGCAAATAAGACGTCAGGATGTGGTTCAAAGACCACAACAATGATATTGTTGCCGCACATTATGAAAATCATAGCCTTTTCTATCTTACTTTATGACAGGCAAAGAAGAAGAATTGATGCAGGGTCCCGAGGAGACATGCCAACAAGGTTGGTGTGTTGTTGAGATGTCGTATCGGATTGGTTGTCGGAGATGGATGTTACTTCCGAGGTCAGAAGTGGGGTGGAAGACTCAAGCTCTCATGCAAGAGAAGAATTGAGGGGAAGAATGATGGTCGACTTTAACCAGATGAGCAGCAATTGCATGCGGTTGTCGATGGATGAATTGAGTTTGAGGATATCGTCTGGTGTGTGTTTTGTCGGGCCCAGTTTCAAAGGATATTTTGTTCTGACGTCCCGCTCTGGTTGCACCAAAGCTGATGGAGTGAGTGCGTTGACGAGGTTGTAGGGCTAGGATGACTGATGTTTCCTTCACTAGCAGGCTTTGTGAAAAGGTGCTGAAGAGTCGAATTCTTATTGGTGGATTCCAACTCTTGCCCAGCTCTTTTACGTACGCAGCCCGCGGGAAAAATCGAACCAGCCGGATCGCACCTTTTCTCCTCTCATCCGGTCTCGTGTCCAAGGTACATTCCAACAGCTTGGATGTATTTGCTGTTGGTGTTGGTTCTTCATAACTAGACTGCGGGCCGATGCTGCAGGATTTTAAATCGCGCGCTTGGGAACTGGCGTCTGATAGGATGCTCCCCGCGTTGATGGCCCGTTGATGCATCGGCGGTTCGTCATAGCGGGTTTTGTAGTTGAACGGTTAGAAACGTTCCATTCGAAGGGCAGATTTTGGATCACTCTTCCTTTGCGAATCGTCGAGGCCGGCTTGGCCGAAGGATGTTTTTTTCATCCAAGTCAGCTTAGCCCGATGACAGGCGTTTGAAGGTTTCTTGGAGACGATATCTGTAGCGATGTGATCAATACAAATACTTCTAAGAGCTTGTTCCGTTAAAGTTGTAGTACGATCATCAGGGCTACCAGGCTACCCCGAAATCCCCTTGGCCCCACATCCGGTTGAGCCCTTTCTTTTAGCTTGTCCAGAGATACCTCCGTAGAAAGCGAAGTTTGGAGGTCTTTCGTCGAATCCCTACTACTGTAGTGTAGAAGTCGGCCAGACTATGAAAGACTCGTACCACGCCGCCATGTTTGCCTGCAGTCGTATCGAATTCTGCTTAGCGTACCACTCCCACGGAGACGTCTGTAGACCGAAGAGCAAAGCTGTCCATCGATTGGAGCAGAGCAAAGCCCTTGTCGAGGTGGTGGTGTTTTCCCCCCGATGGTGATTGGAAGGGCCGGTGTGGTGTAACTGCTTTGGCAGGCCCGCAGGACGGCGCTGCATGTGTAAAGGGCAGGAAAAGCGGCAGTAATTCATCCATATATATCTTTTGCGAATGCTTGAATTTTCACTCGGAACTCTAGGTCGATTATTTCGAGTATCCTAGAATATTGGATTTGTGGATTGCGGTTATTCCCAAATATTGGAACCATCACGAGACGTCAAGTATTCCAGAAAGCTGGGACAATCTTAGATCAACCTTCAATTCCTGCCGCTTTTCGCGCCCATCGTGATCCTTGATGGAGAAGAGTGTGGATCCAACGTGGAGAGCCCCAGGCTTGGGAGTTGGAGGCCAGAAATGCTGGGACCGAGAGGGTCAAGGGCAGTAAGAGGCCGTACCTTGCGTGACCTGGTCTGCTGTTGGTATCGCGAGTTTCCGGAAGAGGAGAAGATGTTAGCTTCTGCTGTACTCGAGTAGCTGCTGTGCTTGCGATGGATGACCAATCTATGATCAATGATCTATGTATAGCGTACTCCGTAGAGGGGAGCTCGGAAGAAAGGGAGGATTTTGCTTGTAGGTGGAAGCTAAAAAGCTATAGCTATTCGACCTGAGCTAGGTCACCCAGGCCTGCATCAACCTGGCTGATATCTCTACTTACTGACGTACAACTCGCCGTGTTTTGACAGCTGTAGCAGTAGCAGTAGCAGTAGCAGTGTCTCAGCACTAGCGCTGTGTACCCGTGTATCCGTACATCCCACGAGCGTTTAGCTAATAGACTTAGGCTAAGGGTCTTTTGCATGTAGCTGTAGCGCTAGTGCAGATAGTTTAGGTACCAAGTACCTGCTAAGCCCTGAAAGTTTAGAGGCATCAGCCCTGAAGTAACTGCAGTAACTGCAACTCAAAAGAAGCCCTTTGGTTAGTCCTGGGGGGTTCTCTTGGGTGGTCTTGTTCGCAGATGGGAGCCTGGGACAGCCTGAGCCTGCATCAGCTCGCAGCATCAGTATCAGCATCTCCCGCACCCGCAGCCGCTTCACGCCCAGATCAGGCCAACTGACATCCACGCCCGCCCCTGCAACAACCTGCAACATCCTGCAATATCCCCACTGATGGCACTCCAGTGTCCACCCTTCGTGCCTTGAGTCTCTGCCCTCTCTCACCCTCATCCTCACCCTCTCACGCACGCTACCAATCCAATCTCTTCACTGCTTCTGCTCCATCCAATTCACTCCTCGACACCAATTACCAATCACCACTCCAACCGACCAAATTGGCGTGCTCAAGACCCGATTGTCTGGCCACGAGGCTTCCACCCCGCCTGCGCCGCATCCCTACATCACCATTGAATACAACACCACCGCCTCTCCCAGCTCCATCGAGAATACCCAAACCAACCAAGAATCCCAATCTTGCAAAACAACAAGATCCGTATATCGAGCGACTTCCAACCCCCGACTCTTTTTGCGCATGATTCCTGCGCAAGCGCATTTCGAAAACATCGTGTTGCGGTCCACGGGGCGCAGAGTGGAGGCAGCAAGCATTGGTAACGTCCAGAGGAAGCAGAGAAAGAGACCATGTCGGGTTTCCTGAGCAAGTTCAAAGGGGCCGCGACGGTGAGTGGCATATGGCTGAGTGTTGCTGGTTCTGTATTCATTGGCCGGATTACAGTCATCATAGCAATATTATACTCCGAACTTGAGACTGATGTCATGCTAGGGAACAACAAGTCCAGGCGTTGCCTCTCCGAAAAGCAAGAAAGATGTCGAACCAGAACCAGAGATCACGGCGTTGGCAAAGATGCTACTCCATGCTGGTCCAATACGAGGGGATGGAAGTGACAAGTTTTTTGGCTTAGAGAATGTACGTACGCCTATGTTTTCCTCGGTAATAATTGCTAATATGCCACATAGTTTGGCAATACATGGTTCGGTGATTGGAAATTTCCCTGCTGACGAGAGCTAATTCTTCCAGTTATTGTAACTCGATAGTCCAAGCCTTATACTACTCGGTACCTTTCCGAGAGAACGTCGTGAAATACCCTCCTCACTCGCCTCACGATACGCCAAACGGAAAACCTGCGATAGTGACGCCTATAAGAGCACCAGTGCCGAACGGTGGAGCAATTGGAACCCCCGGAAAGGCCAAAGGCATATCAGCAGCTGAAGCAATGAAACGAAGGGCAGCTATAAATGCAGGCCAACCAGTTCCCGTAGGTCCAGGACTACGACCGGAAGACAAACCAGATTCTCCGGAATATAAGAAGAAGCATGCGATGCTTGCGGGACCAATTTTGGAGTTGACATACGAAAATGCCGCATCATACGGCATGGAGGAATCAATATTTACCGCACTAAAGGATATCTTTATGGCTCTGGTCGCAAACCAATCACGAACTGGTGTATTAAGTCCTCAGCGGTTTTTGGAGATATTCAAGATGAATAACGAGAATTTCCGGACCTCCATGCATCAAGACGCTCACGAATTTTACGGACTTGTCTTGAATGCAGTCATTCAAGACGTCGAGGCAAATGCCCAGAGACTGAAAGAATTGGAACCATCACGGAATGATGAGAGTCTCGCTCTATCGATGCAGAATGCGGTGACATCAGCAGTCTCTGCAATGGGCTTGAATTCTGGAACAAGATCACCGGGAACTGGATGGGTTCATGAGATTTTCGAGGGCGTTTTAACCTCCGAGACAAAGTGTCTAACTTGTGAGACTGCGTCACAACGAGATGAGACATTTCTGGACCTTTCGATAGACCTGGAAGAACATTCGTCGGTAACTTCGTGTTTACGTAAATTCTCAGCCGAAGAAATGCTTTGCGAGAGGAACAAATTTCATTGCGACAACTGCGGTGGTTTGCAGGAGGCCGAGAAGCGGATGAAAATAAAGAGACTGCCGAAGATCCTTGCACTGCACCTTAAGAGATTCAAGTATACCGAGGACATGAGTCGTCTGCAGAAATTATTCCACCGAGTCGTTTACCCATACCATCTACGGATGTTTAACACTACAGATGATGCCCAAGATCCCGATCGCCTGTACGAACTATATGCCGTGGTGGTTCATATTGGTGGTAACGCTTATCATGGCCATTATGTTTCCGTCATAAAAACTCAAGATCGAGGTTGGCTTTTGTTTGACGATGAAATGGTGGAACCCGTTGATAAACACTACGTTAGAAATTTCTTCGGCGACAAGCCTGGTCAGGCATGCGCCTATGTGCTCTTCTACCAAGAGACAACGGTCGAGGCTATGCGCCGAGAACAAGAAGCTGAAGGCCTGGCTGAAGTTGCACTTGCTTCCGAAGCAGCGGGAATTCCTCTTCAGTCGGATCCCCTCAAAAATTCACAAGCCAATGGAATATCAAGACAAACTACGTTCCCACTCACTCCAGCCGAAGAGCACGATTATCCGTCTTTAGATCATGCAATTTCGTCCCCGCTGCCTACATCACCACCACTTCCCATTCACGAGACACCAAAATCCAGTGCAACGAAACACAGGACTAAAGAAGAAAAGGAACGAGAGAAGAAGGAAGCAAAGGAAGCTGAGAAGGCGCGGAAGGCAGCAGAAAAGGAGAGAATAAAGGCAGAGGAACAGAAACGAAAAGATTTGGCCCATTCTCGGAAAGAATCCCAAAAGTTACAAGCAGACGAGGTGAAGCGAGCATTGGCAGCAAGTAAGGCCTCAGCGGCTGAAGATGAAGAAAAACGGAGAATTACCGGAGAAGAAAGCTCGAATGGGAATGGGATGGAAACTATCAAGGAGAATGGGCACGCTGAGAAGGAGAAAGAGAAATCTTTTGTTCTTGGTACTCTAGGAAGAGCGCATAAGGGTTCAAAGAGTATGAGTCGGAAGAGTTTCGCTTTCTTGGGAGGAAAGAATGGTGAAGCGAAGGCGGAGAAGCAGGCGCTGGTTGAGGATTCATCTAATACGGCTGTCGAGGGCGTATCGGGACCACAGACTCCCGAAAAGCATTCTAAATCTACCAAGGACCGGTTTAGTCTCAGTGGATTGGGACGGAAGAAGAGCAATCTGCTGAACTCTTGAGCAAAACAAGAGCTAATTTCGAAATGAAACGCAAAGCGTGAACGAGCCGAGCCAAATTGAGGTTGTCGGTGAAGGGCACAAAGGCCAGTGAAGAGTGAAATGGACGGACCTTGTATTATGACCAAACCTTCTTATCGCATTTTCCGGGATGTTTTGGGGATCTAAAAGCGCAAGAGAGGATCAAGATGAATTATCCCCATTGTCAACGACACAGTTTATGTTGGGTTCTTTTTTTATACTTATATTTTTTTCTCCCCCTTTCTTGGGATGGGACCTGCCCGAGAAGGGTGCATTTTATTTTTTTGATGATGGATGGATGGGTCGAGTACATATTTGGGAGTCGAAGAAAGACTTGGATGAATTGAAAGAAGGGGTTTAGTTGGGAGATACCAATTGTGATTGCTTGTTGGTGATGTTGATTGGAGGTCTTTTTTGATTCTTACTTAGTTCTTTTTGGAGGAGGGGAGATGCAGAGAGGGGTTTGGATGGGTGGATGGATGAGAGGGCATGATTTGGAGGATGATAGGTATGACATGTATAGCAACTCATAAAACATGATGTGATCTTCCGATGATGGATGAGATTTTTTTTTGGGGGTGGAATGGATTGCATAGCGCTTTTATATAGGTGGGTGGGGGTGATGGGTATAGGGGATCAGACCAGATGAGATGGGTATATAATTGGGATATATGGGGATATATAGGAAGGAATGAATTGATTCTGTGTATACCTCCTCCAGTTATGAAGTTTTAAGGGTTGAAGTTGATGTGGATGTGGATGTGGATGTGGTGTTTAGGAGTAATTATAGCCCCCTTTTTTTTTGAAATGACATGAAAAATTCCTGGATATTGAATGTCGAATATTTGAATAAGACATGTTGAAATGAACAGCTAGAAATGAATCGGATTAAATTGGATTGGATCTGTGTAGATGTAATGTAGCTACTGATATAGTGATATGATGTTCATGTAAGATTACTGATCTAATTCCGACTTTCCCCTGCTTACTGTAAGATGACATGAAAAACTCCTGGATATTGATTATTCGAATAACACATGTTGAAATGAACAGCTGGAAATGAATTGAATTAAATTGGATTGGATTTGTGTAGATGTAATGTAGATACTGATATACTATATAGTGATATGATGTTCATGTAAGATTACTAATCTAATTCCCACCTACTATAAAGTCTGTACTTACCATTGAGTATTGAACTTGGACTTGGACTTGACCTTGGACTTGACCTTGGACTTGACCTTGGACTTGACCTTGGACTTGACCTTGGACTTGACCTTGAATGTGAACGTAAAGTTTACCAGGGTAGTAGGGCAGGGTGGAATTATAGTGCTGTGGCTCTATCTAGATACAGTATACTAGAGGAGTAACAACTTTAATACTTACAACTTAGCTATTTATTTTTTTGTTTAACTACTATCTACTAACTACTAACTACTAACTACTAACTACTAACTACTAACTACTAAATCTACTCGAGTATTCGAGTGTACTGTGTCTATAACATCTCCCCCTTGCTCTTGTTCCTACTCTTCCTCTTACTGTACTGTACTAGGTAGGTACTAGGTAGGTACTAGGTAGGTACTAGGTAGGTAAATGTAAGATTATGGTACCTATACCTATATATGTACCTATACCGATAGCGATAGCGATGGTATGTAGGTAAGAATGTTAGGGTGTTTGTTAGATTTTAGGTGAGTAAGTAAGGAAGGTAAGGGTTGGTGAGTATAAATTGAAAGGAAGAGGAAGAGGAAGAGGAAGAGTTTAGGTGAGTAGGTTATATAGGTGGGTTAGGTATATTGGATGATGGGGAGTGGGTTAGGTACTTGGGATGATGGGGAGTGTGTGTTTATGGTGCAGAGTTTGACAGTGTGTATTTTGGTATTGATGGATATGGTGGTAATTAGGTTTTTGATGTGGGAGAAAGAGAGAGGGAGGGGGGAGAGGCGTTATGTCTACGGGTTGTAAATATCAGTCTTAATCTCAGCTAATTATCATACCTACCTACCTACTCTATTGAACTCTACTCTAGATGGGTGGTTGTCTGTCTTACTTGTTTCCTACAGACGTAGAAAGATGGTTCTTTGGCATGCTGATCATTGTAGATGGAGTTCCTCGGCGAACGTAACGAGATTTATTGTGATGTGTTTTCTTTGTTGTTGATGAATCTTTTTCGATTTTTTGGGGGTATGAAGTATGGACTGGACTGGACCTAACCTCCATCTACCTGTCTACTCTCCCATCCACAATCCTATAAGAATAAATCTGAGCGCCCCCTTTTCCAGTTCCTGAACGCCTACCAGACCCGCCTCACGCCCTTTCCCTACGTGATCTCTTGAATAAAGGAGATTTTGACCTCCAAGGCCTCCTACTGTACCACCCTTCCCTCTCCCACCCTCCCATATTATACAGAATTCTTATTTTCCCGTCCCATTCCATTTCCATTTCGTTCAATTCGCTTTCCTTCGTATCTATATCCTTTCCGGATGAATTCTTGCTGTTGTTCCTGATGCGCTTGCCCTTCCTTCCTTCCTGGCTGGCTGGCTGGCTGGCTCTTGTGGATAAGGAAAGAGGTTGTTCAACCAAGGGCTAGCTCGTAGATTATTATGAACATGTTTATTCCTATCAACGGGACTGGTTTCTTTGTCAGTACTGTTATTTTTATGCTTCTTATTCTGGATTTCCTCTGCTGTGCCCCCGTGTATTTGATAAGAGTGGGTAAGTGAGGAAGGGGGGAGGATGTGGCATAGAGGGATGGGATAACATACTCCTCATAAGCGTCCTCACACTCGTCACCAAGTTTATTATCTTGATCTTGATGCTCGTATCGCCTCCGCTGCTGCCGGCGCCGAAGGCGGGTTCTGATACCGCGGTGGACATCCCGACTAGATATCTCATTAGTACGCGCGCTGGTTCCTTCTGCCTTCGTTCCTTTGCGAGTTCTTGGAGGGAGGAGAGAGGGAGCTGATGGATGAATAAGTACCTCGTGCGAGAAACCGATCTTCGGAGAGAATGGCCATGGCGTTTACGAGTAGGACTGCGACTGTGTGGGTGGTATGTTAGCTTATATCCAACCATCCATCCACTTATCTATCCCTCCACAAAAGCAACTACTATATCTGGCTTTTTGGGAACCATTTTTGGGGATGAAGGCCATACCATAAAACAAGTTTCCCAGGCCGAAGAGTAACATCTTTGCAAGATTTCGGGATTATGTGGAAGTGCGTTGGTGGATAGGGAGGGACGGCGCAATGTAGCTGGATAGCTGGTGGTGGTTGACTTGAAGATGCCAGCAATTGGGTTCTGGGAATTTGCGCACGGACCTGCGAGGCTGAGGCTGGGGGAGAGCCTTGTGGGGGTTGGGACGTTGGTTGCTTCCTGGGGGACTTTTTGTTTCTTGTATGAGTACTCGGTACCAAGGTTGTTATTCGGCGATGGGATTTTTGTGATTGCTGGTGAAAGAGAAGATCTGATTTTTACTTTCTTACTTGAGGGGATTTATGGATGGTGCGGTGGAGTGAGAGATTGATTTTGTTACGTCTCTTCACTAAATCCAAGTGAAGCAAGCTACCTGTACAACAACGATATTTGAATACTCGAGTAGCTTGGAGTAAGAAGCTCCCTCAAAATGCAACCAATTGGTTTCTCCACCCATATACCCCAAAACCACAAGCACAAATCTAACAAAATGATACAGACGCAATCCTCTACACCCTAATCCCAACCCTCATCCTCCTCCACCTCGTCCTAGCACCCTACACCAAAGTAGAAGAATCCTTCAATATCCAAGCAACGCACGATATCCTCACCTACTCGCTCCCCCCCACAAACCTCTCCTCCTCTCTCGCATCCTACGACCATGTTTTCTTCCCTGGCGCGGTACCAAGGACGTTCATCGGGGCCTTGGCTCTAGCTGTTTCTTCGAAGCCGTTCATACTTCTGTTTGGGAGTTGGTATTCGCAGGGTACTGCGAGAGCGGTGCTGGGAATGTTTAATACGGCTTGTTTGATACGGTATAAAAGGGGATTGGATGGCGCTTTTGGAGAGGGTGTGGGGAGATGGTGGGTGGGATTGGTGGTTAGTGGGTTTCATGTGAATTATTATGCGAGTAGGACGTTGCCCAATATGTTTGCTTTTGGATTGAGTGAGTTCTTTTCTCCTACGTCGTTTCTCATTTCTCTATGTTCCATGGATTCTTGATTCTGATTTGGAGATATAGCAACCCTAGCATCCTGCAACTTTCTCCCACTTCCCGCCCCAAACAAAGATCTAGAAAGGAAACGACAGATAAAAGGGATATCTCTCCTCGTCTTCTCGGCAGTGGTCTTTCGCTCTGAAATCGCTCTCCTCCTCTTCACTCAACTCATAGCTTCACTGATTCAATCACGCATCACGCCCCAAACGATTATCCTCACCGGTCTTGCAAGTGGTATTGTCTCTATTGCCTTAACCGTTGCAATAGACTCCTTTTTCTGGCAGAAACCTCTCTGGCCCGAACTCTGGGGGTTCTACTTCAATGTCTTTGAAGGAAAATCCTCGGAATGGGGGACGAGTCCTTATGGATATTATTTTGTGAATTTGTTACCCAAACTGCTGTTGAATCCTTTGATTCAGTTTTTGCTTATTCCCACCGGTGTGGTCATCCCAGCGCTGAAGTTCAGGGTTTTGGAGATGGTTATTCCCGCCCTGGCATTCGTGGCGATATATAGTTTGCAACCGCATAAGGAGGCCAGGTTTGTGATTTATGTTGTTCCGCAGCTGGTGGGTGCTGCTGCGTTATCGGCAGATTGGATTTGGAAAAGAAGAGGGAAGGACCTTAAATATGGTCTTGGTTCGTTTTTGATTGTTGTTAGTATTCTGGGTTGCTTTGCAGCTAGTACGGGCATGCTACTCATTTCCTCTCTGAATTACCCTGGTGGCGCGGCAATCAACACTTTCCATAGAGTTCTGTATAAAGATATCAGGAGTGGATTGAACATGGAAGAGGTGAAGGTCCATATGGATGTCCTCTCCTGTATGACGGGTGTCACACGTTTCCAGGAGGTTCCGAGAGAAGGAATGGTGGTTAACGGGAAACCTACTAAGGTCCTCTATGATAAGACCGAAGACCCGGATACCCTCCTCACTCCCACCTTCTGGGAAGGACTAGATTATGCACTCATGGAATCCCCAGAGAAAGCCATCGGCAAATGGGAAATCGTCGAAACGATCTTCGCCTACGCGGGTATCGAGTTTCTGAAGCCCGGGGACGGGACCAGTTTTGGGGAACACCTGGAACGTGTATACATTGCAAATAATATCAGTGTTGTTCACGAGGGGAAGAAACAGGCCCCAGACGGTGATGAGGTTCGGGATACCCTGCGGGATTTGGAGGAGGGTGGGAAAGAGGGGACGAAAAGCGTGGAAGAGAGGAGACTAAGAGTTAGGGCACAGGAGATGAATCGTTTTGGGACTTTTAATTTGTTGAGGGATGGGGCGAGGGGAGTTACGGGGGGTTGGTGGGTTGGTCCGAGGATGGAGCCTAGTGTTAAGGTGTTGAGGAGGACTAGAGAGTAGTGTGAATCGAGGTTTGGTGCTTGTTTTATTTTGTTGGTCGTGTGGGTTTTTGGGAGTATGGATTTGCTCACTTCGGTTGAGTGGAGGCGGAAGTGAGCTTAGCCGTGCCTACCACGTTGGTTTCCATTCTTACAGATCTGTTTAGAGGATGGGTATGGTGAAGGAACGCCCTTCGTACTTGAACTTCTTCAGGAAAGAGCGGGTGTCTCCGGGATCGTTTAGATCTGGCCACTTGAGTCGACTTTAGGCAAGAGCGAACCTAGGCGTCCCTACCTTGTTTATCTCTTCCAAATCTGTTCAGAGGATATGGCGAAGAAGAGCACATGTTAAAGTCACTTGGGTACTGAGGAAGGAGCGACCTCGCGAGTGCCTGGCCTTCTATGAATTCTTCCTGCAAGTCCGTACCGAACTTTAACATCCAACACATCTCCATCCGTTTGCATAGTAACATCAAAGCCACAACCACACTCGTTATATTGTATCATTGTCTCATCCAAACACCAGTCACTCGCTTGAGACCGCCAGTACATCAAACTTATCATCATCAAATATCACCATCAATAGGCAGTTCTACAAAAACCCTATTCCTGATTCCACAATGTCTCCAAGATATCAACGGGATGACAATCACGAACCCAATCATTACAGATACACACCATACTACCTTCGCAGCCCAAACCACGAAAATAGATCAAGTCAGGCAACAAATCCTGTCCTAGCGATACGACCCCATTCCCCTTTGAGAACGATGTCACCCACAGATGAAATGCTAAATCGACTTCAACACGAACGCAATCCATTAGCACCACACCTATCACTCCCAATCCCAAGAGCTTCAACTCCGGACTCTCTCCAGTCCAGTACCCATGCACACCCACCTCGCCCACCTCGATATTCAGAAATCCCTGAGGAACCTCCCACAAGACTGACCTCTCCATTAAGCACTCGTTTACATCGAATGCTTGAATTATTCGAACGACTGCATGGTGCACGAGAACTCTGGCATGAGGTTCGGGGATCGTTTGCTGAAATTTGGGAAAGTACACGAATGGAGATGCAGGTTGATGGGTGTCTTGAGGGCTTTGAGGGTGAGTTGTTGGCTGTTGAGACGCAGTTGGGTAGGAATAGGGAGGTGGGTGAACCTGTCGGAAATATTCAGTCTGGAGGACCTGTGAGGTTGGGGAGAGTCGTTGAAGGCGAGAGAAGTCGAGAACCATCCACATTGGAGCGGATAGTCGCCGAGAGGGCGAGGCAAAGAACGTTGGCAGCTGAAAGAGCCCAAAACCGACATCTGGATACTCCCAGGGACTGCTCAGAGCACCAATACAGACTAAGAACCCTCGAATTAGCACAATCTGAAGTGCCGGATATTAGTTTGGATGCCCAACCAAGCACAGCAGTACTATTGGCGTCAGATTTGCAGCCTGGAGGAAGACTTACATGGGGACGCTACGTTTACGATCGCGTTTGCCTTATGGAAGCTCAGAAGTTCTTGGATACAATAGAATGGACAGCCTTTACCGACGATGAGCTCTTCGCACTTCGCAAGAAGCATTTGAATCTCATGTTTCCAGAAGAAACCATTGATAGTATAGAGAGCTATGTAAATTGGCCCGCCTTCACTTCCACTCCAGAAATTTGAGCTCATTACATTATCAAAGGAAGGCTAATTAATGATCTCAATAGGAACGTTGTGACAAAAGAAGGACCGATGAGATACGACTCCGACCTGCTATTGAAAGATTCTTTCTCGCAGAAATGCAGCGTGTTGCTCAATTCTTCGTACACTTCTTTACCGGAGAAGAAGGTGAGAAAGGGTTGGAAAACATAGTTAAGGAAGCGAGAGAAGAAGTGCTCGCTACGCTCGAACCCCGTGATGAAGACACAACAAAGTCATTCAAAATTCGTCAGCATGAGCGCGTACTCGAGATTTGCCATAGGGAAATGGCCAAAGTTGTTCATTATGTCAATCAACTTGACATGCGAAGGCAAGGCGATTATTTGATCTGTAGGTTGAGGCTAGATTCCTGCTATCGATTGATTTCAAAAGGGAGAGGGAGGGCAACCTACATGTATATCTTTCAGCGGTGCCTGAAGCTTTTGTTTCCACGCCAGACCTGGGATACCGAGGTGCAAGTGGTAAGTGAACTGTTTTCACTGCTTGACGTTTGTTTTTGATATGGTTGCTTTAACACTCCTTCCCGGATTGAAAAATTATTCCATGTGGATTATTTCGCCGTAATTGATATTGAGTTTACTGACATGTTTCCTTCTTATAGGCGAGCGGCATGAAGCAATTGAGAGATCTTGAGACGCAGATGAAGAAGAGAGATCGAATTCATGCAGCCCTAGGCCGACATGTTCTACAAAAAGCTCATGACCAATTTCGTGGACGAACTGATGCCTTACTGCGCACGTTTCCGGTAGGTCTTTCCCAAAGCCTTCCTTGTTTTGCGGATTGGTTGGGAAAGTCTGGGGCACCTGTTACCCTCCTGATACTCTTCCAATTCGGGCTTCCGTCTAGCAAACTCTGGTTATTGTTGAAGTGACAATACTGACTCTCGGACATTCCGCAGAATATTTTCTATCGAGTTGATGTTCCTGAAGAAGAGATGGAATTGTATTGGGTTTTGCATCCTGCTTTGGTATCTTTCCCTCCCGGTGTATGGAAGAGCCTCTGCTTATTTGCTATCGTAGCCATCGAACCTGAGAGTACAACGAGACCCTGTGCATAGTTTGAAAAAGGTATTTTGTTTTCAGAGTAAAGTTGATTGAGTCTTCCTAACTTGAATCGTAGTTTGCCAAGAAGCAGGTGTATAGTATCTGTCGTATCTTCATCTTGGAACCTCGCGATATCGCAGATCGAGATGGGTATTGGAATGCGGCCGAATGATTCTAGCGACAAGGAAACCCCAACGTCTTTTGCGCATATGAGAAGTTCCTCTAGCTCTCGCCAATGTTGGATCATGGAAAGGGGGTCGGTTGCAAGATAAGTTTGACATTCATGTGTAATCCTTTGTAGACGTTGTTTGTTAGCTGGTGTATCATTACTCGGTGGATTTGGAAGCGCAAGCAACCTTTGGAAACCTCTTGTTCAGTTAAAGAACAGCTGAGTAGTTTTAGCGAAAAGTTGTTAATGTTGTTTCTATCAAGCTGGATGTCAAGTGTGGTCTGTTGATAGAGGGGTGCCGATGGGTAGAGCTTGCTGACGATACTGCTTGTTGAGGTCTGAACGTGTCCAAGGAAGGTAGGTATCCTTGTCACTACTAGTGCTGCTTTTGATAGCTGGCTGCTTGCAGGTTGCTAGGTCATTATGGCCTCGCTAATCAGTCTGGCTATCAAATCGGCTTGCTGCTTCATTTAGGGGGTAAATTGGATGAAACTTTCTCCTTAACCGACTTGTTTATCCCACAAATCCCAACCTTTTCTTTGATCCTTTTTCTTTCTCCTTCGCACAACCACTCCATCGTTGATTCGCAGTTTCTTCTGGCCCAAGGGGGTCAAAAATTGTTTATATTACCCTCTTATATCTATCTATTGTCCAACCGACCCTCGCCACCATGGACAACTCTGCCGCCTCCGCCTCCTCCCAGTCCCCCTCGGGGGCGCCTGAGACTCCTCCTCCTGCTGGCTCCAAGAGATCACCAACGCGGTCTGGATCCCCTCGCCGCCACGGGATGGTGTTCAACGACGGCGAGGGATGGGCTCGACTGAGAGCTCGCTTCTCTCAGGAGTCTCCTGTTCCTTCTCTCCCTCGCCTCTCGCCAGTCCGCTCCTTCACAATGCCGTCTCGTCCTCTGGATTCGATAGAGGCAAGTGAAGAAAGGGGGAGCGAGGATGGAGACGAGTTTGCGCCGCAGCCTGGGTTTGCTCAATACCTTGTTGCGCCTTTGAATATTTGCAAGCAAAGGCTAGTAGCATCCCCAAGCGAGGGCACCGTGACGGTAGCAAGGCTTGAGAACCTCGCTACCGAGCCTCAAGTGGGCAGCGGTGGAGCCACAAGTACCTCACCCCACCAGATCACGCATGTCGACCAGTTAGAATATCTGGGTTTGGGGGGTGGTGAATCAGGCAGCGAGGCAGCCAATGCTTCAGACGGCGGCTCGGTTCGCTCTTTTAAGAGCGTCTCGACTGTCATCTTGAACGTCGGTTCCTCAAGCAGTCCATCACCACCACTGGCAACGATGCCGCACTTTCTCGAGTCTGCATCGCCCGAGCGGCCAACTACTGGAGTGACGAGAATCAATGAGCGTGCGAGATTGATGGATGGCCTGCAGAAGGCGCGTTTGTTGCTGGAGACTCTCGATCCGGAGACGCAAGGAACCAAGAGAGTGCTTGCGAAGGCTTGGTGTCCGATTGTCCTTCAGAAGCAGATGCTGTTCTACGCATTTCTCTGTGTCCACGACGATGGCTTCGACCCGAAAAGTTGCAAGTATATGGTAAGTTCTGTCCTGAATCTTCACTGTCGCGGCTTGGATGCTGATTGCTTTTGTAGGAAGAGGGCCAATTCAAGCAGGATCGGGACGAGGAGGCTCGCAACCTCCGCGCTGCAATGCATAGCCAAGATTGTTTCATTGCTGCGCTTGCACGAGGCGACCAAAGATGTCTGAACGACATCTGGGCAAGAAACGTTTGGATCCCTAGAGAGCGCAAGTCGATGAGAACGATGTGGAACGAAGCTTGTGAGCGTGTAAGTTTCCCCTTTCACTCTATCTACCACACATCCCGTACTAACACACCACCAGGTCAAGAAAGCCCTCACCCAAATGCCGGACGAGCATGAAGACGAAGTAAGTATTCCCCCTCTTTCCACATTCACCGCATCCTAACAACCTCCCAGTTCGAAGGCAAAGCATCCACCCTCATCGCCGAACTCGCCGCCAACTGCCAAATCGTCGCGCGCGCATGGGGAACCGCCAAGGTGCCTCTCGCGGAGCTCAGAAACGACGAGGCCCTCTTCGCACCATACGCAGGACTCATCTGGGACGCGGACGACGACTCGGACTCTGAGAGCGAGGATGACGAGACGACCGTCCTTGCTACGGAACAAAACACCAGACCTGTCATCGAAAATGAGACTGAGAACCAACCATTGAATGTTCGCGCTGCTTCGATGGATTGGTCGGCTGTTACTACTGGGCTTTTGGAGGACCTTCAACTGGGAGATGACGAGCACGAGCACTCGGGACGGAGAAGTGTGTGAATTGCGTTTGGGGACGTTGATATCTGGATTGGGTGTTCTTCACAGGGTTTGGGGAGTTTTCTGGTGGTCTTTTGTGGTGCGATGGATGATACCCCTTCTTTGATGGATGCATGGGGCGTTTACTTGGGTGATCATTAGTTGAGAGGGGGGTTTCATTATAAGTTCATTGGTGAGAATGAAGGATTAATGATTTCTCTGACATAACTTCGTGCTTTTGCTTGCAAATGTGAATGTGCGATTTTGTTCTAGTGAATATCGTAATCTCGGTTATTGTTGACTTCTTGCCTGGACTTTCAGGTATCCAGGGTGTCGGGTAGGAATAAGCGAGGGGGCCTCGCTTATTTGTTTTCTTTTCTATTTTTCTCTATTTCTCTCAGATAATAGGATCTTTTCGCGATACTTAGAATTAGTAGGGTATAGTAGGGACTTTTAAGTCTATAGGTTTATTTTATTTTTTAAAGAGATTAGATTAATATAAAGATATTAATAAACTTTAAATCTTTTAAAAGATTTTTGTAAATAAATTTTCTAAAAATATAGTCCGGACTAGAGTAGTTTATTTTTTATTACTAGGTTAGTTTAGTGAATTTTATTAGAAGTATATATATTATTTCATAACTGTGACGGTTCTAACCGTCACCACCATTCGGATCACGTGGTCTCGCTTAGCGACCCACACCAAGTATTTAGATCGAAGCTCTCTCGAGCTCTCCTCTTCTCCTCAGCTTAGAATCTTTGTTTAATTGACAGTTCTACGATTCCACAACCTACACCGTGGGCCTTGCGTACGTGTCGTCACAATAACTTATAATTTATTATATTTTCTTTATTTTAGTTTCTCAGAATTTATTTCTTTAAAATATTTAATAATTATTATTAGTATTATTTAATTGGTAGATTTTAATATTATTTTTATTATTACTACTATTTATTATTAGATTTATATATTTATTTGTAAAATATAAACAAAGAAAAAGAATAAGGGAAGTATAAGGTAATAAAATAACTAACTATTTATAAGAAAAGAAACATAAGTATAAAAGTACAAAAATCTAAGAAAAAGATAAAAGAAAATCCCTTTTATTAAAGGAAATATTATCTTTTACTTTTCTATTATATAAAAAACATATCTAAAGGGGGATTAGATAATATATATATATAACGTGGTTTATCAGCGAGTCGATCATATCACCGAGTCGATCACTTTTCCTTGGCACTACCTCCTCAAACTTCAACACACGTTTTCTTCAACTATTTACCATGGAAATTCAAACTCAAGAAGCGCGAATTACTCTAGCTATCGAGGCTATTCGGTCGTCCAAAAAACTAAGCAAACGCTCTGCGGCAAAGATCTACAATGTACCATATACGACTCTTTCCGACAGAATGGCTGGCCGAACCTACCGCCCAGATTCTCAAGCCAATTGTCATAAGTTGACTGAGTTAGAAGAGGAAGTGATTATTCGGTATATACTGGATATGGATTCCAGAGGATTTGCGCCCCGGCTCGCTGGTGTAGAAGATATGGCTAATTTTATCCTTGAATCGCGGGGGGGAAGACGCGTCGGCAAGCTCTGGGCCCATCGATTCGTACAACGACAACCAGACCTTAAGACGCGTTTTAATCGCGTTTACGACTTCCAGAGGGCCTTATGCGAAGATCCTGACGTGCTAGGCGCATGGTTCCGGCTAGTAGAGAATATGAGGGCGAAATATGGGGTTACAGACTCCGACTTCTACAACTTCGACGAGACAGGCTTTATGATGGGTGTTATTTGTCCTAGAATGGTTGTTACTCGTGCAGACCGACGTGGTAGAGGCAAGGCAGTTCAGCCAGGCAATCGGGAATGGGCTACAGCAATTGCCTGTATTAATGGGGAGGGCTGGAGTATTCCTCCATTCTTGGTAGTTCAGGGCAAGAACCATCTCTCCAACTGGTATACCGACGGCGGCCTCCCACCTAACTGGGTTATGAAACCGACAAGCAATGGTTGGACAAATAATGAAACAGGCCTGGAATGGTTAAAGCACTTTGATAAACACACTACAGCTCGTGCAAAGGGTCTGTATCGAATACTAGTTTTGGATGGGCACGAGAGTCATGAATCGGCTGAGTTCCAAGACTACTGTACGAAACACAACATTATTACTCTTGGACTACCTCCTCATTCATCCCATCTAACCCAGCCACTTGATGTTGGGTGCTATAGTGTGTTAAAACGAGCGTATGGTCGGCAGATTGAGACGTTTATCAAGGCCCATATCAACCATATTACAAAGGTTGAGTTCTTTCTAGCCTTTACAGCAGCATACAAGGAAACAATGACAGTCCTAAACTGTCAGTCTGGATTCCGCGGAGCTGGCCTAGTACCATTTAACCCGCAAGCAGTGCTTTCAAAGCTTGACGTAAGGTTACGGACTCCAACTCCCCCTCGGACGTGTAGTGCCAACTCCCTCCCCTGGGTGTCCCAGACCCCTTCCAACCCAACTGAAGCCCTTTCACAATCAACTCTTGTACGAAATCGTATAGCCTGTCATCAAGGAAGCTCGCCAACTCCACTTTTTCAAACAGTTGCTGCGTTAGCAAAGGGTACAGAGCGAATGGCACATGAGATGACCCTTTTGTCTGCTGAGGTCCGTACCCTTCGCGCTGCAAATGAAGCCCTAAGTAAACGCCGTAGGGCTAAAAAGACTCGTGTCCGCCAAGGAGGGGCACTTATAGTAGAGGATGTACAGGATATGTTAGCTCAGGAGGATGTAGATGAGCAAGTACGACGCGACATGCGTGAGGCGGGGGTTGGTTATAAGGAGGGGCAACCTTCTAGGCGGCGCTGTAGAACTTGTGGAAAAGCTGGTCATAACGCGCGAACTTGTCAAGAAGTTATAGATATATCTAGTTCGTCAGATATAGAGAGCGATAATTAATTTAATATATTGTGGTTGATTTATTTAGGTGTAAAGTTCTGTGCCAAGAAAAAGTGATCGACTCGCTGATATGATCGACTCGCTGATAAACCACGTTACTTATATATATAAAGTAGTATAGTAGTAAGAATAGTAGGTAGAATAAGCGAGTACCAAGTATACACGTTATACTAGGATTTTGTATTATCGTAGATCATCGTCTGATGTTTATGGAGCACTCAAAATTAGCTATATTACTCTGTTTAGACAAGTACTTTGCCTACTATTTGAGTTGCGGGCTGAACGACTCTTTAACTCCTTGCTAGGAGAAGGTTGAAAAGGTAGGCATTCTTTTTCTACTTTGCGTACACGTTTTATCCGGAACTTTGTCGTCTGAAGGAATGATAGTCTATTTGACCCAAGCTCATTCTGGCACTTACCGAGGCAGAGTTCAAAACTTTGGAACAGCCACCTTTTGAATTTTGAACGCGGAATACCTCTATCATCAAGTTAATCAAAGACCAAAGATGCAAGACAAACAAAGAGTCTGACATAATAGGTTTAGGACTCGATGCGACATTCTACTTCTATAACCGAGTTTGACGTAAACAGAATATGTTTATGCGATCAAAGGTGCATGCGAAATAAGCCTTCCTTCGCATGGATAGCGGTTTAATTTGATTGTATTAAACTTACTGTAGTATATGTATATGTCTATAATAATTAACATAAAAAACTATGTGTGAACCTCAATTAAACTAATGTTGCCCTACACAGAGCCACAAACATAACTTCTATTTCCGCGTAGAAAGTAAGTAGCCAATCACTAAATTATGCCGATACCGATCCAGAGAATATCATACTTTGTCAACTAAGACTTCGGGATCTGCCACTAGTTTGAAGAATACTATCATGCCTTCTATCGACCAGTCGTCAACTAGTTCGTGACGAAAAGATTCTGTAGAAAGTTTACCTTGTCCCCCAAAAAACATTCTACGGAAGCCTTGCTACTTTTACTTTTATTATACTTGCGACAAAGTAGATGAGTTGTTGCGATAATGCTGTGGTGTATGGGGTTAGCATATATAGTAGGTGCGTCATAGTGTAGACCGGACGCTCCTCCTTGTTAGAAGTTCGTCTTATTCGTAGAAGATTGAAACGAATAGTAGCTCCTCGTGGTTAGCCTTATCTCTCTAGGTTCCTATAGAAAGATATTTTCTAAGTAGGCCAGGAGGTTACGAAAGGTAGTATTCCTAACATCTACTCTTGTTACCTCGCGCGCTAGTATTAGTGTCAAAGTCGATTTACTACGGTAGGTTCGTGAATAGCACCAATCTAATACTACCCCGGGCATTACACCACTTCAAGTTCACCTGAAGTAAAAGCAAGGGATCTCGGAAACAATGCTACCCGGGAAATACGAAGATCTAAAACTTAACAGTGATCATTTAAGGGTATACATTAGATGATTGCGATGGTAAAATCTTGATTAAAACATCACAAAGTGACAAAGCGCAGCTACGGTTTTAGATAGCGAGATACACGGCTGTTAAGTCACTCCCAAAAGCGGACTTGCACTAGCATTAGCCTCAGTAGGTGTGAGAGGCCAGACCTCGAATAGCTCAAAGGTATGTATTCGTCATTCAAGTTTCTTGCAAGTTTCTTGGAATATTCAGTTCATGGGTGATACAGCGCATGATAGCTCATTACAGTTCTCCCTAGATTTTTATATTTGTCTTAAAGAGCCACTCGCTTCTTGTATCTAGAAATGGTCTATATAAGACCACTAGCAACCCACCCTTTATTCTCTATCGCAACTCCACAAATAGACCAAGAACAATATCGTGACTCCTAATATCCATTCTAAATTATTGAACTTACGTTTACTTTGCCCTTGTCATCTTAGAAAGATTCGTTCTCTCCAACACTTTATTATAATCTTTCTTGTTAAGGCTCAATTTGCTGCCGTTGACGCCTTCCTACTCCCCCCACCATTCGGTACCAGGGATGTGACTCCAGTCAAGCACGAACACATATTTCAGCTTCTCGACGACCCCTTTACCACCATTTCAGAATCTACTGCCAGTAATGAGAAGAGAACTCTTCAAAGCAAAGAAACAGGTAGGAATTCAAAGCGCTCATTACTTATGCATCATCTAACGAGTTTAATCTAGGGCACAGGCAAGAGCAGAAAAGGAATTCTATTAACCTAGATTCTTCATAGGCCGGGGATCTCAATATTAAAAAGAGGTTTTCCTGCAGGTGCTAGCCCTAGTCCCCCCGGCCAAGCCAGAGGAGCCAGAGGAGGAAGGAAAAGCTCGGCCAGCCCAGATTCCTTAGCGGTCACAGATCAGAATACCAGGAGAAGTATGCTGGATAAAGGGATGGGGATCTAGACAGGGATGGGAGTGGTAAAGGGAGATCGCCACTCGCATGAAACCTGCATGTTATTGGTGGGCAGATTAAGCGCGATCAGAAGAGAAGAGGGTGAGCGAAAGTAGTGGATGAGGTCAACTCAATTACCGCGAATAGAGCGCGGGGAAGGAGGGAAGAGTGAGTAGCCGGGATATATCACATGCTTTTGGATTATGCATAGACTGTTTGATATTTGGGACTCGAAGCTGGTACTCTACGCTCTCCATATACACTTTGTATTTTCTGTCCTGGCTTTTATCGAAATAAAGAACAGTTGAGAACCGGAAAACGCTCTTATGAAACCCTGGAGCCCGGAAAGTTTGAGGTGCGAATTATACAAAGGGATGGGCTTAGACATCTACCTACGTTTTGTTTCCCGGAGTGAGAGCCAATATACAAATTTAGGTATCCGTTTCCCATGGTGGCAGTCTCTTATATGTTTAATTACTGCATTCGCTTTCCACAAACATCGAATCTCCTAAACTGTAAGATTAATGTTATTGGTTCTTCAATTAAAGTCCAAAGAGAGGTTGGTTTCAATTAACATCCTTCCCTGTTTTCCAGGGTAGTTGGTGATAATGGATCATTATTTGGAGTTTTGTATCATTGCCGAATAATAAAATATATAAATCATAAACAGCTTACGTTTTAACTTTTAGATCAAACATAGGTCAAGGGCAAAAAGCAGACTTACTGGAAGGTTTCGTCGTATAAGCAACTGTTAATGTTTCTGCAAAGTCCATTCCTATATCGTTGTCCTGTACGTTCATAGTATAGGTAAGTATTTTTAGATAACATCGCAATGTTTGTCCAAAGTTTCCTTGGGAGAGCTTTAGCGAAGTCGGAGGGTAGACCAAGATCGGGATCTGAGTTCATACAATCCACCAAGACATGTTAACCCTCCTGTACATTAAAGAAATGGTATTCGATATATCATTAATTATCCATAGAAAGGAGGAGTATAGAAAGTCCTAGCTTATATATCCTTTGAAACTTTACTCTAAGCTAACTCTTAGTAATCAATATAACGGTAATTGACCCCTTTAATCTATAATTCCTGATTTTCTTCAGTGCGTGTTTGACCCGGAATGCGCATTCAGGGTGGAGTGTACAGTACACTGGTCAATCAAATACGCCCACACTCGGAAAACTACACTCGTTTCTCTGGTTTTATCGAATATACACTCGTAGATGTATTTGTGTCGAATATCGTTTCACTCGAGTAGAACCTTAATTAGTATGGTACACCCTGGATGCGCATTCCAGCCTAACAGGCCCTAAGTATATAAGCGAGGATAGCCTAGTATCGAAAGTTTCACAATCCGAAGTAAATATACTTCGAAGTAAAGGGTCTAGACAGCTCGGGTCTCCCCCTCCCTTGTCACTTCTGATATACTTCCACATGAATCTAACAATGCAATTGGCTGAGAGGATTATATTCTGGGTTTCTATCCTGCCTATAACAAAAGGCGTATACAGGGGAGGGGGGAGACGCGAGCTGTCCATACCCTTACTTCTACTTCGGCCCAAGCGTAATAATTGTAACTTTCTCTTTCAGGCACCCTCGGAAAGTTATTCTTATTTCTCGGGACGAAGTAGATGATGTAAACTCCTAAACGCTCTCTATATAACCTTCGATTTCCCCATTCCATGTCCATTTCTACCGTTTTCCCCCCCATTCGTACTCCCAATTCATCTGCTTGATATATTCAAATTGTAAGGGACTGTGTCCAGGGCACTGGAGTTGCAAGTAAGTAATTGTACAAAAGAGCTAGAACCGATTACTGATAACGACATTGCATACAGCCAACAATACTTCTTGTGTGTTTGCTGGCAAGGGGAAGGTCCTTGATTCCAACTCGCCTCCAGATTCTACGTTTGCTAGACCGTCCGTCGGATATAGACAATCTGGGCATCGCACGGGGGTTTTCGCTGGTATGTAGGCTCGCGGTGGACACCAGTTCATATACTCGGCATGTAACGGACTTCTCGCACTTCAAGTTCTAGGTTGAGAAGAATATCGATTGATGGAGATTCAACACTTGAATAACTCTCTAGAGTTCCAAATCTAAGCCGCTGAACCCTCTGTGGCCTCATGATACCAGCCTTTTTCGGTACTACGAGTACAGTGCAGGAAAACCACTTATACCCTACAAAACCACCATCCTAAAACCACTTCTGCAAAGCACCTACAAATCTGCCAAACGACCATCTCAAAACAAAGCTCCTATAAATACATCCCTTCCCTTCCCTTTCCTTCTTCACCTCAATATTTCCCCTGCAACCGTATTAACGAACCCAAATCAAAGAAAAGCGCTCCTCCAACTGTAGATCAAAATCCAAAACCTAACCCGAATCCAGACTTACCTTGACATAACCCGCAACACAAGCCGTACTAAGATAATGAGGAATATCAGATGTCTAGCGCCACTAAAAAAGAGGAACTTGTTGGACTTGGTGGATCGCTTAACATCATTCCACTAAACCCAGCGTATTAAATTCGAGTAGTTGACCTAATCAACTCAACTCGAGTAGTGACAATCGCTATTCAACTCAACTCGCCAAGTACTCGATTAACTCATGAGTGACTCGAGTAGTGTCGGCCCGATGCCCCGTAGCGCGCCCGGCTCGCTAGCCCGACTCCGAGCGGCCGGTACTAGTAGGTCCGCGTGTGCGGACCTTGCCGAGTGCCCCTGTATTTGGCATATACTATTTAAGGACAAGTTTCTTATATTATAGTCACGTTGTATATAACTACTCAAGTACTATTCGAATAGTTAAATCTACTACTTAACTCAACTTGACGGAATTACCTAATCATACTCATTCAACTTAACTCGAGTACTACTCGAGTAGAGTTAAGTATTTGATTAGTTTTGTTAATACTCTGACTAGACCTATCAAATAATACTTTAAATCTGAACTCTCTCACTTACCTCGCTCCTTCTTTGTTGTTGCACACTGGAGTAAATACGCTCATCAATAGAAAGACATGTCATTCAGGAACTCGATGATATACTACAACTCTTGTTACTCAATACAATTTCTAGACTCCTACAATGCCCATCCTCACACCCAAACTACAATCCATACACACTCCCGCTATCAATTTATCCCCATCCGATATCTTACAATCTAAAACCTCACATACCTACTTACTCACCCTCCTAATCGCCGCATCCCCCACAAACCCCTTCTCACAAGTCTCAACCACACCCCAAGTAGTATTCCTTCGTCTCCCCTCCTTGCCCACCAACCTCCCCACTACCCCCTTAACCAACTTCTTCACACCCCTACAAACCTCCTTCCCACCTGCCAGTCCCCACTCACCCACTCTCTTCTCAGTGGAAGGGAACGTCAAAGAAGGCGCAGCCGTAAGCGTAGTATGAATCGACCTCGTACTTTTCGCATTCAGATACAAACACCCACATGTGCCCTCGCCCCTTGCTAACCTGCATACCCCACAGAAGAGCGAGGATTCGAAGTGATCATTGACCGGGGAGGGGATGGGTGGTGTGAATGTGTACTTTGACATCCTCTTCCCCTCGTCCCTCAACACATCTCGAGGCTGAGAATCTTTGTCATTGATATCGACGAAATTTCCGGTTCTACGGCGAATACTCTTCGGTGGGATTTGATGCGGGAATAGGGGAGGTGTACTCTCACTCCTCTTCCATAAGTCAGAGGTCTCGCTGGTCACTGCGTGGTAAGGATTTAGGTTCAGAGATGCGGAGAAGTAATCTGTTGCAGTGTTTTCTTCTTCTTCTTGGTAGAAACTACCGGGATCTTCTGCGTATTCATCTTGAATCAGGAATTTTGGTCGCTTCGTGAAGGTTGGACTGGTCGGTGTTGGAGCCCGGATTTTAGGTGTGCTTGAATTTGTCTTTTGAGCGTTTTCATGGCCTGGAAAATTGGGAATGTGGGATGGTGGGAAGGGGAAGGGTGAGAGGGTTGAGGAAGTGTTTTGTTGGGGGAGAGTGAAGGAGGTGAATGAGTTGAAGGATGAGCGGGAGGGGAGGAAGCTGGTGTTGGTGTTTGTTGATGAGCAGGAGGAACTTTTGGAGTGATGAGAAGATAGAGGAGAGATTGGCGAGTGTTGGTCCTGTGATTGGAGGTTTGTTGGGGAACGCAGCGGGATGATGGTCATTTTTATAATAGGGAATTTGGTGTTGAAGTTTGAGGACTTGGGGCGGAGAGGAGACTTGGGTGGGATGCGTGGTGCGAGTTCTGTCGGGAAGAGAAATTCGTTTCCATCTATATTGTTATTGTTGTTTCTGCTGTTGATTCTCAGAGGCTTGGGATGGGATGAGGCAGGAGAGCTTGACGAGCTCTCTGAGTAGTAGCTTCCTCGTGATGAGGAAGCCCTGATGTAATCTGCATAATTTTCGTCCATTTCTTGTTCCCCTGGTAGCTCCGGAGTCTGGGGAGGTGAAGGGAGGAGTATGGATTGAACAAGGATGCGTAGTGAGGGTCTTCTATCGAGGTCGGATTCAAGTAGGTACTTTGGCAATGGATCTTGCGAACTTTCAAAAGGCGAAGACCCTGCGTCATTTCCAAAAGTATCTCGTCTGATAACCGGGGAATCTGGTTTCAGGAAAGAAGTGTCGGTTGGTGAGACAGCATTGGATGACGGAGGACTACATGGAGAAGATATTTGGTATTTTGGCGTTGTTGGAAGCAAGCTACTGGGAAATATCTGTATTTGTTAGTGTTTATCCCAATCAATTGTAATGACAGAAAATAATACCTGCTCATCCTTCTCATCATCTAAGCACAGCTTGATCTGATCCAATTGCTGCTTTATCTTTTTTGTTTTATAACTCTCGGTATCCTTTCTCAATTCCTCTCTTCTATCTCTCCATGTTTCCTGAAATAAAGTTTTCCACTGCGAATATATCTCACTGGAAGGAGCAGGATTTTGTTTCGAATCATTGTTTTGGTGGTATTTGCATAACGTCAGCGATGATAATCTTCCGAGCTCGTGGAATATCACTTCGGGATTCGGGGATGTGTCGATCGTGCGGAGGATCCGACGGACAGTCTCGTAATCCTCGGGGTCGATCGTTTTTGTACATCTTTGACGCAATTCGTGCATGTGTTCACCTGCAAAGCAAGTGAAAGTGTCAAGATCCGTATTAAGATTTAAAATTTCTCGAAAATTGCAACAGAGTGCCATGTTGGAGTTGGGTTATGTAAAGACTGATATGGAAATGGAAAGAAGAAGCGATCGGTAGTTGGGTGCAAGGAACATATATGTACTTGGCTCGTATCCGGGCTGACAGATGCTATAGTTATAAGACGAAAAAGCAAGCACACATAATCCTATTTCTAGAGCCGGCACTGGCATATATTATTTGCACACCTCCAGATACTAGCAAAAAAGGCTGCAGATGATATCTTTAACCTGAGGCTCTCCACCGTAACTAAAAGCAGACAGCTACAGTAGTGCATAGGATGGGGTATCTGAGCCTCGAGAAAATACTTCCGTCTGCATATTAGTGGTACTATTCTGCAGCAGGGCAACTATATGCGCAGCAAGAAGCCTATAGCAGTTGAACCAAACAGGATTCGGGAACCTACATCCACAGTAATTGGTAGGTTGGTTCATAGGGTAGTATATCTCCTAATCTGCAAACTACAACACCCCATTCCTCGTCTGGGCATACCATGCAGTATTTACCCGCGAGGCACAGAACGGCAGGTAACATGTGGAGAGGTGGTTAGAACGTTTTGAACCTGGTAGAATATGCAACCAGAGAGGGCTATGCGTGTTTTGTACTACCAGCACTGCCGATTGTTGAACTTGTAGATAGAGGTAATATAATTTTGGGGGTTCACAGTTTGGGGTCGATGGATTAAGTGCAGCAAATATTGATATTGGAAGCACAAAACGTTCATCAACGTGACAAATCATGTCCCAAATTGAGGGAAATATTGTTGATAATACGACGGATGAACTAGAAGAATGGATGGCATGAACAGCCGCAATGCATCAAGTTGTTTAAACTGATGAAATCGCGAGACAGCAAAATTCTCGCTGTCATGTAACACAACCAACTTCCATTTCGTCAGCACTACTGAACTTGAAGGGTCCCGGCCCGCATCGTCAAGGCTGCTCTCAGTATGAATCGGGATCAGTATGTATGTATGACTGCGGCGAAAGTGCAACACATCCGGATGCCGAAGTATGGTGGAGATACCAACACGAACATATGTTGGTTGAAATGCACAGTCGTTTGCAAGCTGTTGTAGGCAGCCCTGGTTGCAAGCTTCCGTCAATCGGCACGTGGCATCACTGGATCCAACATATTCGCAGCCTTGAAAATATAATGGTTACGCAGTTCTGAAAGGCAAGACCGATCATCGAAAAGAACCAACCCAGTCGAAATGTGTTGGAAACACCACAATGGAACAGACCAAAAATAAACCATAACACATATCATGTGATTCACCATAATTCAACAAACTCACCACAAGTTTCCCTAAGATCCATCCATCCACCTCGTACTCCCAACCCAGAAATCCAACTGATCCAACCGCATATCCCCCACGTCACCACAGGCCACCAAGTCACACACACACTTGTGCTCCATGAAACACAAAAAAAAGACTCCCACCCAACCGCCAAGGACAGCAAATCCCATCCGTAACACCTATCCAGAAAAGCCGGGACGATCCAATCCTCGATACCTCGAGAAGAGCATCGCACAAAGATCTGCCAATACCTCCGTAAACGCCATCAACAAAGCCAAGCCTCTCAATAAGTAAAATCCTACATACCTCGTATATATTCCTGTCCGTGATCCTCTCTTCCCCCTTTTTCCATATTGTAGGTACTGTTGAGAGTGGAGATCAAACGGATAAAAAATCAACAAGCGACGATTTCGAAGCTATAGGAAAGTACTCTAGGCATCAAAAACCCCAGTTTCTGAAAGCCTATCTCAAATATGCAACGAGACCCATTTGTGAAGTTCTAGGAAGATGCTGAGGCAACTACCAACGCCTCACTAACACCCCCTTCCCGGACCCCAAGAAGAGACCAGTACTCAAAGCAACCAATAGAAGAGACTACACCGGTAAGGATAGTATAACATAAAGAGGAACTGTGCCGCAGGTGAAAAGCATGCAATTATTTGCTCCAGCCTCGTGCTATCCTGGGGTAGGAAATATCCCCGTTAGCGACGTGTCTCATCGGAATGTCTCTGATTACTTGAAAAGGATGGGATGGGCTGTGGCAGTTTGATATACACTCTGTATCTGAAAGTTCGAGGCGACAAGAAGAGTTTGATCAGATACTGCACGAAGTACCTCGCTACTTAGAAGCCTCTATGCAGATGTTAATGAATAGAGGGGCATGATGATGTAGAACATACTTTTTCAAATCCGTATGGAATGAGCAAGCTGAAAGGCATGAAGACGAAAAATGGCAGCTGGAACCTCAAAACCAGGATCGAAAACCCCTCATCGTCATTATATTTTCCTAAACAGCAGATCTAAACAATTTTAACCCCTCCTCCTCAACCGATACCCCATCATCCTCATCATCTTCCATCTCCACATCCTCACCTAAAGTCATCTTTTGCCCAAGTAAAGTTCCAAAGAAGCGATCGATAGCTTCCGGCTCCCAACCCGTTCTATCCTCAGGCGCCATGAAATTCTGCAACTTCTCATGAACTGTGTACCTCAACTTGCGACCCTTACTAGCTCTCGTATCAACGACCTTCTTCGTCTTCGCTTCCTTCACAGCTGTCCATTGTAAAGCGGTATCCACGCCAGGAGCTGGAGCATTGAGTGATTCCACTCTTCTTTGATCAACCAGTTCCTTCAGGAGCATTTGATAGAAATTTCCGTCATCGTAGATATCCGGATCCTCAGCTAATTTGGCATCCCTTTGAATTGGAGCGCATGATCGAGGAATCTTTGTCTTCTTGATCAAGTGTTCTGAGCTTGCAAGCTGATCCTGTAAAACAGAAGTGATGGATTGTGTGACGGTGGGATTAAGTTTCTTCGTCAAAGGTACTGCAGTTGTGCCCCGGACTTTGGAAGACCATTTCTCCAAAGTAGTTTGTCGAACATCAATCATTGATACTTCGGAACTTTGCATCTTTTCCCAGAATTTGGATGATGGTGCTGAGACGTCTACCAGCTTTCGCTTCTGGCCTGCTTTAAAATCGGTTCTTGATTTCGAAAGTTCATGGCGAAGTCCATCTAATGTGTTCCAGAGTTTAACGGCTGCTTGCTCAGCCGCTTCGTACGGTTCATTTCCTTCCGGGTCTTTTTCATCTATAGTTGCCATAGAATTGGTGGCGACAAGAGCCTTTTGTAGAACCATTCGAACGCTCAAGAGGGAGTCGAATGACTTTCTTTGAAGTTTGACAGCATTTCCCTTATCCGCATCTGCTTTTGCGGCTTGGGATATTGTGGCAACTACCTCCTTCTGCTCCTCATTCATGATTTTCCGTAGTTCCGCGCGGCTGGCCTCCCCATCGTCTGATTCTTCTTCGTTTTCATCTTCATCTTCCTCCTCCTCTGCATCTTCTTGGTCATCTCCGTCCTGATCTCCATTGCTTTGAGAATCGTCGCTCAAAATTTCGTCCTCGCCAATGACTTCGTCGTCACCAGAATCGGACTCGTTAGTCTCGTCCGTTCCGTTCCCTGCAAATTGACGAGCAGTCGAGAAGACTTCGTTTTCAGAATCATCCGCATGTTGTTCAGCGGTATCCAGTACATCTTCGTCAGTTTCTGACGCGCCATCCTGGTCGTCATCGTCCTTTTCGCTCTCGCTATCCTCTGACATGAAATCCGACGCTGTGGCCCTTCCGCCTTTACTATTCGGAACCTTGGGTTTGCCGCTTCCTCGAAACACGAATTTGTCGAATTTTTCTGCATCACTCTCCCCAAAAGCTTCGTCGCTGTCTATATCTCCATCTTCATCGTCAATATCGAGGTCGGAGTCGTCTGGGTTCGCATATTTTGTACTTGAATCGTCCCCTTCAGACCCTGAATCCCCAGCAGCTTCATCACCGCTATTCCCATCGAGTAATGCCTCCCTACTTATTCGTGAACCAGCGTATTGAGGACCAAGTGAGATTTCTTCGGGTTTGCGCAACTTGCTTTTGCTACAACATTCGATTTAGAGGTGAAGATGCATTTAATATTTCGACAACCTACCTGACGGCTGCATAGTGTTCTGTGCCAGCTAGATCCTCCTCGCTTGCACCAGAGTCGCTGTCCTCGCTGTCTTGTGGTGGATGATCTTCCTCAGGATCAAAATCTAAAGAGAATTAATTGAATTGCCTCTGTAATACAACAATAGGCAAACCTACCTTGTGGAGTTGGATCAGCCAAGTCAGCAAACTGCTGTGCGCGAGACTTTAGTTTGGCCATTGCACGAAAAATTTGGTTGGCTTCTTTAAAAGTTTTCAAGTCTGTCGCATCAAAATGCCCCGAAGAAATTCTTTGGAAAAGAAAGCCGAGAGCTCCCCACGTAAATCTTGGCGCGCTAGTGGGGCTTCCACTGGCGTCCTGCCGAACCACCTTAAAGTTAAGTCATGGATAGCTTCATTAGAACCAAATAATAATAGCATAATGAAGACACGATTATTTTCAACGTTGCGTTGCTTACAACATGAAAATCCACTGGTAAGAATAATCGTTCTTCAAGAAATAGCCTACTATGCTAAAACAAAGCAGGGTTTACCAAAAACTGGCAGTATACCTCGTTTCCAGCGGGGATTACCAGAGAGGCGACCTATCAAAGATGTGAAGAAGGTCATTGCAGTTTCGTCTGCAAAAGGTGGTGTTGGCAAATCAACCCTTTCAGGTTTGCAACTCCATGCATAAAATAGGCGTTTTTTAACAATGGGAACAGTGAACCTGGCGTTATCATTTGCGCGGCTAGGGCTGCGAAGTGGCATACTTGATACCGATATCTTTGGACCTTCCATACCCACGTTACTGAATCTCTCGGGCGAGCCACGATTATCCACGAGTTAGTGAGCCTGATGGAACTCGATTACGAATGCCTTTGACACCCAACAGACAACCAACTGATCCCTCTGTCGAATTACGGAGTAAAATCTATGTCCATGGGATACTTGGTGGGAGATGCTGCTCCAGTAGTTTGGCGTGGACTTATGGTCATGAAAGCATTACAACAACTCCTACACGAGGTTGAATGGGGAGGTTTGGATGTCCTCGTTCTGGATTTACCACCTGGAACAGGGGATACCCAATTGACAATCACTCAGCAGATTGTATTAGATGGTAAAAACATCCGAGTACGGGACTGTTCTTCTGAGTTGACATAAAACAGGTGCTGTTATCGTCTCCACGCCCCAAGATATCGCATTGAAAGATGCCGTCAAGGGAATCAATATGTTGAAAACAGTCAACATTCCACTTCTGGGAATGGTGCAGAACATGTCACTGTTTACTTGTCCGCACTGTCAAAACAGTACACATATATTCGGGTCTCACTCGGGTGTCACACACGCGTGCGAGAAGCATGGAATCCCGTTCTTGGGAGATATTCCTTTGCATGCCAGTATATGTGATGATGCTGATAGAGGGAAACCAACCGTAATTTCCGAACCCGACTCGGTCAGAGCGCAAGCTTTTATGGGCATTGCTCAAGATGTTGGGAAGAAAATTGGCTTGTTCTGAGGCTGATTCAATTCAACCTCAAAGTAGGTGGCCACATTGAACAGTTTGAGTTCAACTGAGCCTGATCCGCCAGTTTAGGTCTCCTCAATCAGAGACTGGTGGTTATAGCAGATTGAAAGTCCCACAAGCTGAGCTATGCAATGCTAATACTGTAATGTATGTAAGATGAAAGTTATTTAAGATACCCCCTATCCACTACCACTTTTCTTATTGTTGATTTGATAGCAAATTTGAGTGCTTCTCATGCTTGACCATCCAAATACTCTAGGGGAGTTCATAGACGTAAGATGACCTCCCTAGGTCGTAGATCTACGGCCTGCCGATGCAAGAATCTGTGTTCCACTGGTTTTTCATACCTAGTATACGACCTTGCGGTGTCTGTATTTCTTGTGGTAGGAACGGTGGTAGGAGGTGCGCTCCGGGTTCACTGGAGACTACCAATGCTGAGAGCTGAGAGAGGAGGAAGGCGCGAGCAGGCGAAGATACAAATGGGTGCTCACCACTCGCCTACTGTAGCCCAGCTCGCTCCTTCCTCATCCACATTCACCACGACGCGTTCATTTTCCACACCCAACTGGGAGACTCTCACCTTCAAACTCCTCTCTTCACCAAGACCATGTCGTCGCATTCCCAGCCACGACAATTCTCGACCCCGCTAGTGAATTCACCTGGACCTCACCTTTCCATATTCAAGATCCTATAGGAGCCGTAAAACTTTCTCAACTCCAATTTCTTCTCTTCTTCCCCTCATCTCCTCAACACAATCTTTTCACAACACCATCCCATTTACCACCTACCCCCATTTTCTTTGCACTATCGAACTTCTTTCCTCATCCCCACCAAAGATAGACTAGGGATTCGCAACACTCTCGGGCTTCACACACCCCTTCTCTATTACGAACAAGTTTAGGCTTGCTTGATAGGCCCAGATTCGAGCCATAATCACAAACCTCCAATCTCAATCTTGACCCGAATAACAGAGTAGCTCTACGCTACTCGACATTGAAGATGAAGAACTTACAAACGGTCGCCCTTGCGATTCTACCAATGGTAACACCTTCCACGGCTCTATTCAACTCTCAACGCGGAGAAAAAAGTGGCACTATTGGTAATTTATCGTTCTATCGTCATATGAATTCTTTTAACGAGGTACCAGGGTTACCAGACAATTTCAAGGTCAACGAATTGTTAATTACAAATGCCAAAAAGCCAGAGTTTTACAACAAAGCCATGCTTGAATTGAAGCGATTAGAGGATGAGCCAATTTGCCACAGACTGGCCGCGCAGCTTTTGATAAATACGTGTAACGGCCTCCAAACCATTGACGAGTCAACTCTCCAATCTACCAAAGCACGTCTGCAGAGGAATCACGTTGAAAGCTTTGCAGCAGCACTTACGCTTTGCGATATGGAAGGAGTTAATTGGGAAATTCCAGAGCCTTGTATGCCGCTATCGAGTGCTGCAATGCACCAAGCATTGCGACAAGAACAGAGAACCTTGGTGGTCCCTCCAGATGACGTTCAAGCTTGTCTAACGACTCTTTCTCAAGATCATACGCATTGGATGACGTGGCTTCATCGTCGGGACTCAGCACTGCTGTTCTGTCGAGCTGCAAGCGTTGATATGGACAAAGGTTGGCAGCCCCCGCTATGACATGGACCTTTCGCTAATTGTTACTTTAAGACCAACTATTCGAGTCTCAAAAAATCCTTGTGAAGATTATGGCAGATTTTGCCACTGGCCTCGAGGCTGAACTTGAAAGCCTCAAGAATAATATGAGATCTCATTCAAAGGACGCAGATGTCTTTTTTGAGGGGCTCATGAATCATGCGGACGGGTTGAAATCCAAATTTCATGGGACCATGGAAAGTGTTGCTTCAGATATTAAAGTACGTGAACCTTTTCCGTTCAAATTTCCAAACTCCTAATTTTCTCAGAATGTCGCTGCCTCCATCGCATCTATCAAAAATAGTGGTTCAGATATCAACCGGTTCTTGAAATCCGTCTTCCAAACGGCTGTCGAGGGGAATGCAGAAATGGTCGCAAAGCAGGAACAAGCCCTGGTAGCTTCGACCTCCAATTTCCAAAATCGACTTGAAGGCATAAACGACATGGCTCAAAGAACCGAGGAGTACGCGCTGATGCTCGGTCAAGTGATAGTAAGTGCACTTCCAGGTATCACTTACAGTGCTAGTCCTGACTTTATAGGATCAAATCTCATCTAGACTCCAAACTCTCGCCGACCAGCAAGATTTAATGGGAGAGAAATCAGACGGTGTTCTTACCGCCCTTTTGAATGCCACGGATCTGTTTCAAACCCACGCCACTCAACTCGAGAAGGCAAGGATGACGGCAAATAAAATTCATGATAGTTTAGGGAATGTTGCCTCAATTACCAAATTGGTTTCCACGTTTGCGGACAAGATGACTCTTAGTGGAAGAATTGGGGATTGGATGGTACGGCTCGTTGTCCCACCTGCCACGGTCTTTCTCGGCAGCTACGGATTACCACCAAGTCTTTCCCGAAATGCGCTTTTACTTGTTGGTGGCGGCGGAATTAGTGAAAGTATCGTTCATCTACGGCGATGGGCTCCTATTCAGTGGTATATGAATTCTCTTGCTAATCTCGATCCTTGGGAATGGTATCCAGAGTCTTTTGAGCCTAGTACGTTTACGCATTTGGTGAGAACTCGGGCGAATCCTAAAGCTGGGGAGATGATCGAGGATTTGTTCACTATGCGCTGAGCCTGATATCATGGGGTATTTTGGGATGGATTGTATGCCATCATGAACGGATCGTCTGAGGAAAAGATACGATATGCATATATTTTGCTACATAGCTATTTACCACCGGGGACACGGGAGGGTTGCGATATATTCTACGGGTATTAGGGAAAGGGATGGCGTATCGGTTCTGAAATGTTTGGGGTGGGTTCGGGATTATCATAAAAGAAGGCGTCGGGTTACATCTTGCATTTTTGCATTAGCTTTAGGCTCTTGAGGTAAGGGACTTGGTGGCAATGGGATCACTCTTGGGTTCAGGGGTGTGAATGGGACGGACGTATGGATGAAAGTTACTCATATCGCTGGGTTGGACGAGAAGGTTGTTGTTATTATGCTTATTCTTGCTTAGTGGGTTGATGGATCTTTTGGGGAAGGTTATAGGAGGGTGATGTGGAGGTTGAAGAGATAGTTAACATACCACTACAACTTTTGAAAGACTTCCAGATTTCATGTATCTTGGTGATTAATTGGGCCTTCCTTTCTTATAGCTACTATCCTATTCCTTGGCCTAGCTAGGTATTATATGAAAGTTGAATTAAGAATGGCATTGGTGATAAACGTGGTTGTTAAGCTAGGGAGTAGATGTTATTTCTACTCGTTATTGTTGTTGCTATCTTCTAGTCTTTAGAAAGTAGGAGGGAGGTAGTGAGGTAGTAAACAAGACCCTGGGAGTTGTTATTTATGTGAAGTATTATAGTAATTACATATTACGGACCGGAAACCGAATTTTCTCGAGTCGGATTAGAAGCTCACTCTTTCAGCATCCAAGCTTGAAATCTAAAACGCTTCATTCATTTGATGTCACCCTACTAAAATCTCATATCTACATCACTCCCCTCCCATCTCTCTAACCCCCCCACACTCCTCCTACCCCTAATAAACCTCCAAAACATACCGTCCCTCCTCCTTCAACCTCTCAATCTCCTTAGCACCCACCACCTTCTTTCCCCTCCTCACCCCCTCCTCCACAACCGCCTCCTCAAGAACCTGCGTTACATCCGGCACCGGCCACGTCGGGCCACAAAGATAGAAGCTCCCTCCATCCTGCACATAACTCTTGACGATATCCCCCATCGTCTCACGCATCCGATCCTGGATATAGATCTTCTCCTTCTGATCACGCGAAAACGCACGGCCGAGGAGGGTAATGACCCCCGCGTCGCGGTAGGCCTCCCATTCCTCGCCGTAGAGGTACTCCTCCCGTTGATGTCGCGAGCCCATGTACAGCAGGATGGCACCGATGGGGATGCCCTGGCTCTTTTGCAGGGCGCGGTACTGGACGAAGGCGCGGAAGGGGGCAAGGCCCGTGCCGAGACCGGCCATGATGAGGGGGGAGGTGTCGAGTGTGGGGAGCTTCATGACGGAGGGTTTGACGCTTGCGGTGACTTTGGCGCCGATGGGGAGGTCGACGAGGTATTTGGTTGCTTGGCCGAAGCGGTCGCGTCCTTTGGGGTCGACCCAGGAGACGACTACGATCATGAGGGCGACGGTGGTGGGGTTTACCATTTGGGAGGAGGCGATGGAGTATTCTCTTCTCTTCATGGGGGAGACGATGCGTACGATATCGTGGAATGAGGGGTGCGCGGAGGGGAATTCGAGGAGGATGTCGGCGTAGGTTATGGTGTCCACTTCTGCGCGACGTTTGAATTCATTTGCGCCCTCAGGACTGGAAAGAGTGAGGAGCTCTTTCTTTTCCGCCTCGTCGGTGGCGAATTCCGCGAGGGATTCGTAGAAACGTTTTGGTGGTTTGCCAAAGATGTCGATATTTTGGACCAGTGATTGAAAGACGGTGCGGGTATCGAGGACCGAGGGGTCTTCACGAGAGGGTACCTCGACAACATCGAGGCCGTTGAGACCGTACCATTCCATGAACTGGATGACTTGTTCAACATCGTTTTCGGCGTGGATTCCTAGGGCTTCGCCGATGTTGTAGGTTAGACCAGAGTTCCCGAGATCGAATTCGATGTGGAAGATGTTACGGTCGTAGGTAATCGGGGTTAGACGACGGTTCTCTTGGACTGTGATTTCGTATGTCTTGGCGGTCAAATCAGGTCGGAGAGCAGTTGTGGTACCATAAGCTTCTTTGAATGCGAGACCCTTTGCTGCCGATTGCCAATCACGGAGAAGAGATGGTTCTTCCTTTTCCTCTTTCTCAAAACCGGTGAAGCTGGTTGATTTGATGGTTTTTGGGAGCTCAGAAACTTCGGCAGCGACATCAACCTCGCCCCATTGTCCTGGGATTTCGACTTGGCGAAGGGACTTGTCAATATCAGAGGCCACTTCTTGCAATAATTCCAATCCACCATTGATTTGAGCGAGCTTTTGTGGTCCAGCTGCAACTGAGTCCGTTAGAGCAACCTTGAGAAAGGCGACTTCAATGAGGAGAGCCTCGACTGCAGAATCCTTCTCAACCGCAGCGGAAAGTGTGGTATCAAGAACAATCAATTGAATGTTTCTGAACTTGATATCATTTCGAATAGTCAAAGGGAGTTTCTTCTCCAAGTCCTCGTCCTTGACACCTGGAAGCTTGACGATGAGTTTTCCGTTAGTCTTAACATTGCTGCCGATCGCAACTTCTTTCAAAAGTTTCTCATCACCAATATACACAACATCGGCAAACTCGATCGGATAGTATGCTTCAATGGTTTGCTTGGAGCTGCGAATGTCAGTTCGAACAATACCGCCCTGAATCAAATTATCATGAGTTTGGTTGACAACAACATTATTGGTAGGATCGTCAGAAAGCAATTTGCTAACGGCTGATGGAGCGGTTGAAGCAGCCGAATCCTCCAGGTCCCAGAAAGTGTATTGTTTGACTTTCTCAACGTTAAGAAGTTGGATCTGCTCAGTCTCGGATTCCTTGCCAGCTGATTGGTCAAGAATTGAAGAGATGAAAGCTGGTGTGATTGGCTCTGCACGAGCATATTTTCGGTCAACAACAGAAGGGCTTGTTGTGAACTTGTCGGAGAAAGTTGTTGCAGCCAATACATCCTCATAGAGGTTGGAGTGGGTGGACTGGTCAGATACAGCAGTCTGGTCCAAAACTTGGCCAAGAACAAGGATACTCTGAACTGAAGCAGGCAAGGCGTTCAGGAATGATTCTTCGGAAAATGGTCTGTAAACTCGTACGTTGACAACACCCACTTTCTTGCCTACATTGGCCAGTTTTTCACCAACTTGCTTGGCAATGGATGCTTCAACGCTGCCAAAAACAACCAATACCGTTTCGGCAGAAGCGTGACCAGAATATTCGAACAAATTATAGTCAGTTCCAAGCTCATTGTTCAATGCATTGAGCAATTGAGTGACCTTGGTTTCGGCATCAGCTTTCTTGCTAACCTTGGGAAGTACACTGAGAACACTTTTATATGTAGAGTTCAACCCAGCCTGGCTAGAAACGTCAATGACACGAAGGGTGTCACGACCGACGTTGATCCCATCATATATATGAATAGTTGGCAACACGCTAGCGACCACGGTAGAGAATAATGCCATGTGTTGGATTTCATATGCTGACGAGCTAGCAACCAGACCCAGGCCCAATTCTTCGGCAGTTGTCATGGCAGTAGCATAATCGGTAACCAACCTCCCAGATGGGCCGGGGGCATAATCAACTGCAGCAACATGTGCAATGAAGGGATTGGCTACCGAATAAAGTAGTGCAAGTTGATCCAGTGCAGCGCGTAGATGATGCAGGCTGGAAGAAGAGGCTAAAAGCGATTGGGGGATGTGTCGCTTGGCGAGATCAAAATCCTTGGAAAACATATACCCGAGTGCAATCGATCCGGCACCTGAACGCGTTTGCATAGGCGCAACTTGGGTAGTGTAGCCATTGGTATTCTTGATGTTTTGTGCTGACCAATTCTTTACTGCAATGTCCAAATCGAAGGATTCGGGAGAGTAGGAGAATATCTTGTCGGACAGAGAATATGCCACTTGTTGGATGAGAGTTTGAGCTGTCACGTAGGTTGGCCCACTGATTGAGGCGAAATCAATGGGTTGTCCAAAAGGAAGACTCGAGGACTTGAAGCTGAATGTTCGGAAGGAGGTCGTTTCGTTTTCAGTGTTCCATGTGCTGGCAAGAACTGGCCCTCCGGCAGGTTCCTATTGATGATTAGAAATATGTTGCATGGCCCGAAAATTTTCAGACTTACCAGTCTCTTGTATGCAGGAAGCTGGCCGTCAAAACTCCTCTTTCTGCCTGTCAAAGGCAGAGGGCTGTCAATCTCCATTATGTCGCCCATTGCGAAGGTGGTTTTGGTTGCAAGATGGCAACCCAGAGAGTAAAGGAATGAAGAGAATTGAGGAATGGGATACGAAACTTTGCAAGTCCGGAAACCTGCAAACTTGTGCAAGGCAGAGGGAAAGGCTGAAAAGATTATTTGGGGAAGAGAGAGGAGGAGACAAAGAGGTGGAGGGGCGGGATGGGATGATAGTCAAGTCAACTCAGCCTAGAGACAGATTGAAAATCTACTAGTGCCAGGGACTCGGAGGCGGTCGAAGAGTACTGGTACTATCAGAGATAGTAGTCTCTTATCTGAGCTACAAACGCCTAGCGCATCAGAGTAGACCTTTTCGCTTAGGCCCTCTACTCAAGAGTCCTTCTGGTGCTTCTCCCAGCAGAATCCCGGAGGCAGTAGAAGTCAACAACACACGACCTTTCTTGATGCCTTTTGAGTCCAGAATGAAAGGCCGTATCTCTATACTTACACCAAATGAACTTTCCTCCGCCAATTGATACTATCGAAAGTATTAAATAAGAGAGTTTGTCAATTGCAAAGACTGCTGGTTCCATTGGCCACTCCAAGACGTATGATTTGGTCGTTCGAAGCAGCTGGAGCCCATTATTTCCGTCACGAGAAATGACACCTTCGATGCCATCCCTGTCCCTGCGGCTTCTAGAGCCGAAACCGCCACGAAACCCCTGAGAAAATCTTTTCTTGGGATTGCGTGACTTCACGTGGAAAAAACACCATTCCGTGAGGCCGGAAACGAACCAATCGACTTCCTTTCTCTTCAAGGCTGAGAATCCATCAATTACTCCGTACTGATTGACAGCCTTGCCCCCGGCCGTAAGTGGATGAGACTCCGATGCTCGGGCCGCGCATGATTACTGCTCCGTGCGCCGAGGCATCATGAAATATCCTTGTCAAGTTGTCAGCGGCTTCACAGCGGAGGAATCACCTGCGCGGATTTAAGGTCCATTCAACGTCATCGAAGAATGAACCGGTGAGATTCAGTTGGTATGAATAGGGAAAAAAGACTCAACTCTCCACTATGTCCGTCGGGGGGATCAATCCACTGTAGCTAGTCCTATTAACGGAGATATTTTCACTGTAAAGAAGGGCAAAGCTTACGTCCGGAATGTAGGTACGTACGAAATGCCAAAACTCGACCATATCAGGGTACTTACCGAGCAAGTATATATTGAATTTCTTTCCGTGCTTTCCTTTTCAGTTTGTTTCTCAACATCATAAACACCACCATCACTATACTTTCATGTTGCAATTAATTTACATACCATACAATTTCCACACTTTTGGATCTCGATCCCGTACCATCACACAATGACCTCCACCGCAATCGTAGGCTCAACCGGCCTCGTCGTAAGTTTCCTCCCCTCCTCTCTCCAAACAACACACCTAACATATAACCCAGGGCTCCCACATCCTCACAACCCTCCTCACCCACCCCTCCATCTCCAGCGTATCCTCCTTCTCNTCCAAACAACACACCTAACATATAACCCAGGGCTCCCACATCCTCACAACCCTCCTCACCCACCCCTCCATCTCCAGCGTATCCTCCTTCTCCCGCCGCGACCCCCCCACCAAAGACCCCAAACTCCAACCCCTCGTCTCCTCCGACACCTCCACCTGGCCCACCACCCTCAGCACCCTCACCCCCATCCCATCCATCCTCTTCTCCGCCCTGGGCACTACCAAAGCCGCAGCCGGCTCCATCGCCGCCCAACGCGCCATCGACTACGCCCTCAACCTCTCGCTCGCACAGTCCGCAAAGANCCATCCATCCTCTTCTCCGCCCTGGGCACTACCAAAGCCGCAGCCGGCTCCATCGCCGCCCAACGCGCCATCGACTACGCCCTCAACCTCTCGCTCGCACAGTCCGCAAAGACCGCCGACGTCAAGGTCTACGTGCTGATCTCGACGGGCGGCGCGAACGCGCAGAGCATGTTTGCGTATCCCAAGATGAAGGGCGAGCTGGAGGATGCGGTTAAGGCGTTGGGGTTTGAACATGTGGTTATTCTGAGACCGGGTCTGATTGTGGGGGAGAGGGAGGAGAGTCGACCGGCGGAGTGGGTGTTTAGGAAGATTGCGGGGGTGATGGGGGGTGTGAGGGTGGGGCTTAAGGATGTTTGGGCGCAGGATGATGTGGTTATTGCGAGGGCGGGAGTGGCTGCTGGGCTGAAGGCGTTGGAGGGGGGTGAGAAGGTAGTTGAGTTGGGGCAGAGTGATATTGTGAGGTTGGGACGGACGGAGTGGAAGGTTTAGGGGGGGTGACTTTTGGATCGCGAGTCTTTTCTTGGAAAGTCTTCTGAAATGAAGACGAATGATTTTGATGGTATTGGATAAGAGATTTTGGATAACGGCGTTTGACTCTTTTTTTTTGTGTTGGTATGAGATATCCTGGATAATCCAATCTTTATATTTCTGGACTGTCGTTGGTCGTTGATTTTCATGTACCCGTAACTGTAACCATCCTCATGCTCTCGTCCAACGAACGTTCTTGTACTTGGTTCTACAACCTCACTGCCCTACCATGGGTCTCTCGAGATCTTAGTCTCTGTGTCCCTCGAACTCCACATCGTCTTTATTTAAATCATCCAAATATCTCAACATACACCTCGAAACTCCGACAAGGCAAAAGGAGACTTGTACACTTATGACAAGACATATACTTATCATCCAAGTACCACACGAAAGCACCAACCCAACACATCAACACATCAACAATCATTCCCTCCCTACATCCCCACCGTTATACCAAGTCATCTATCCCCTTTCTCCCCAGTAATCTTTTGCAAAAGGAAGTATCATACTGCTATCTCTTTACTGCTGTACAACGAGTTTCTTCTCTTTTCGTTGGGAATATGTTGGCTTACGTATTTTCTTGTTATGTAGGTACTTAGGGTTCGGGATGTAGGGGATGTATGTGTAGGTAGCTGTTTTGTTAGTGGGTATGTGGGTATGTGGGATGGTAAGAAGGATAGGGTGTTAGAAGGAAATTTCTTGGTAATTTCTTGGTTGGATTTGAGATGGATGTGTGTGTGTGTGGGTGGGTATGTATATGTGAAATAGCTAGAGACTTTCTAACGAACGAAGCTAAGAAATTCATATCTAATATACGGCACCGTATTATATTCCTTTATACTAGGTATTTATAGGATTAATACAGTTCTTATTCCACTAAAGCTAAACGAAGCTTAGGGCGAAGAACAAGAGAAATCTTCCCGTCTCTCCAACCCCCTTTTCATCACTACCCCCCCTCTGTTACGGAACGGTCTTAGCCAGCCGAGACTCCTGTACTCCTGTCTCTGCTGCCTGACCCCCTATCTCGGTTGCCTAGGTGGATGCCTAAGTATTCTAGCAGCTTCCACTCGGTCAGGGTCGTCTTATAAAGACTCCCTGCTTCTCCTTTAGCTAGCTTCACTCCTTAATCCACTTTTACAGCTCATTCTGACAGTCTCCTGTTTTGTCCCTGACACCCTCCATGTCCTATAATTCCCCATTCCTCGAGGACTAATAGCTATCTCTCTATCTCCAGCCTTTTTTTAAATCAATAGATACGACTTCGAAGAAAGTTATAGCGAAAATTAAGAATACGAGTACAGCGATAAGAGTAAGATAGCTAGAGCCGGAAGTTACTATAGTAAATGGAATAAGAGGTGGTTGGTACTTGAATTCTGGTTTTATGTTTTTCCAGGAGGGGGGGAGGAGGAGGGGCAGGAAGAGGAGGGTAAAGGGAGGTGAATAGAGTGGTTTGTTAGTTAGCAAATGTATAGAGCTTTTTAGGGCGGTTAGTAGTTTTTTAGCGGTTTAGATTAGAAGATATATAATAGTTTTAGATAGATAGAAGAGGGTAGGGTTATAATATACCTACTTTCTTCTGTCGAATATTTAAGGGAAATTACTTTCTATATAAGGGGCTTTTTCTAGTTATTTTAATATAAGTTTAATAAGTTTTATACTAGAAAAGAAAGGTTCTCTAATTAGTAATAAATCGTTCCACGAATTAAAATATATATATAACTTCTTTATTTAACTAATACTTAGAATTAAATAAAATATAAAAATAACTTCTACTTTATATCTAGAAGAGTTAAGAAGCTTTATAGATTTTATTTAGTTTTATTAAATAGATCTTTTAGATGAATCTTTTAAATAGAATAGTTATTCGATTTATAATAACTTGATAACTTTTTAATATTCTTTTAATTTAAGTTTGATAGTTAATAAATATTATTGTTATATAAATTCGTTAAAGTAAACTAAATACATAACTAGAAATTAGTTATATAAAGATTTTATTTTATTTTAATAATTAATTCAGGTTATTCAAATATCTCTATTTTATTATTTTTTAGAACAAGTTAGTATCTCATGAAGTAATTAAGTTAGAGAATATAAATTATTAAAGATAATTTAGAGAAAAGAGTGAAAACACATGTATTTTTCGCGTAGAGTTTATAGAGAAATGGCAGATAATTAGTTAAAATCATCGAATTTTAAAGAGAACTAATTACAAAGATAACTTTACAAGACTTGCCACTCTACATTCTACGTGGTAACTTGAAATACTCGAATCCGCTAGCTTGATCTCCGAAATCTGCCTGCCTTTTGGTACCCGCAGTGCCAGGTTCCATAGGCTTTGGACGATCAACTTTCCAAGGTGGAGGAACATAACCATCTGGTGCCGTATCTACCGGAGTGTCTTGACCTTGGAACGTCGATCGCTCGGAGACCTTCGCTGCAGACTCGGCATTCAAGCCACCACGCTTCAACTGCTCCTTCCCCCCCCGAGAAGAATCACCTTTCAACTCATGATTCCGTCGCTCAAGTCTCGCAACTTGAGCCTCCAAGCTCGCAATTTGTCGTTCCTTCTTCGCAATCTCATCACCCTTCAACTCCAACACTCCCTGACACAGCCCCTTTACCTGCTCCACCCTCGCCTCCGCAACCTTCGCTCCCCGCTCCATCAAGGCCATGAAACGTTGTGTTTGTTCCGTCACCCGATCAACCTCCACCTCCAACTCGGTGACCTCAAGTCGCGCTGACCGTTCATTCGCCTCGATGGCGCCGAGTTTTTCGGTCGTGGATTGGATAGAGCGCTTATCCCTTCGGTGACGTTGCTCAAGGTCAGCGATCTTGGATTGCTGGTCAGCTATAGTAACCTGCTGGCCAGCAATTTTAATTGTCTGATCGTGACTTTGGCTAGTCAAGAGCGCGATCTGGCGTTCCATTTCGTTGATTCTGGATTGCTGGTCGGCAAGCATGCGCTGCTGATCAGCAACAGTTTTTGTCATATTGGTGTTTTGGCGCTCTGAATCTTGAAGTTGTTGATCTGCGGCGGCAAGTCGGTGGTTGGTGCCAGCTTCAAGCTCTTTGTATAAGCGGTTGATCTCCTCCCACTGCGATAAGTTAGTATGCGATCAGTTAATCAGAGTGCTTAGAGCAGTGAGGCAGGACGTAGTAAAAGCACAGAAGGAAGAACAGAGAAAGCGGTCACATACGCCGTGCATGCCTGTCTTGACGAGGAAACGTAGAACTTTGAGCTCAGAGCTCCCTTCCTGCGGTACTGGGTCACCTTGGTGGAACTCCCAGAGGTTGAACTTGTTGTTTGGATTATTGAGTGGGTTTGCCATTTTTAACAGAGATAGAGAGAGATGTGTGATCAAGGTTGTGACTTTTTGACGATTGCTTGAAGAGAATGATGGATGGTGCTCAGAGAAAGGTTTGCGAACTGGACAGAAGAGATCTGAAGTCGGTTTGCAGGATGAGGGGATTAAATATATTTTCAGCCTTCTGTGCGGTGGCCTAAGCTCTGTCGCTGAAATAAACAGGCGAAAAATTTGCCATATTGCCAGATTGGGTAAAGGCTGGTGGGGGGTGGCTGGGTCAGCGTTTAATGAAATGACTTGATAGTCGCTTAAGCGAGGGCATACTTTGATATCTCAAAAAGCGAGGTTAGTGGTCTAAGCTGGAGCACAAAACCACAAAAGATTTATGAACGTTCTAATTAGATTTTTGGTAGAGCCTTTGCGAAATAAAGTGTAAGTTGCCGATTCTGTGTAATAGTACTGGGCCTTGGGTGGTTTTGTGACGCCTGCAGTTTCTCTGTTGCGAACTCATGAATTCCAGAGCAAAAAGCGGTATGACCTAGTAGCATATCAAGCTATTAAGGCCTCTTTGAGGAGTGTAGATACCCTGGCTGATAGCTAATAGAAGACCAGTGAGAAACTCTGTTGAGGTTATTTGGTGGTGATATGTAGATAAAGTCGGTTGGTAATTGTTGCTAGCACCTTTTTTAGCGTAGACTAGGATTTTAAGTATGAAAACAAAGATCTAAGTAGTGTGGTTTTGTGATGGATGCTTTTGATATTGAATGTCAAAGAGGTTGTCCATGTAAGTTGAAAGTCACAAGAACAAGTGGCTCTTAGGGAAGGAACGACCGATTGCAATTAGCGGTAACTCAGTGGAGGATGAGACGTGTGAGCGAGAGTTCTTTTGAGAGAGTGCCTATTTAGATTGAAGGTAAAGAGTGGCAAGGTGGTGGTTGCAAGAAGAAGAAGAAGAAGTGGCTGTTTGGGAAGAGACAACCGATTTGATACTAACGTCACTCTTGTTGATCGCTGTTACTATGAGTGGGAATCAAGTATGAATATGAGAATGGATAATGTAATTATTTTGTTTGTAGTTGACTGTGAAATTGTATTGTTAAAGTTGAAGTGGTTCAGGAAGATAGCTGGAGATTTATACCTGCTAGGCAAGAGCTAGTAAGGAACCCTCCCCAATATTAACGAGAAATAATACCTACATGTAGAACATTTCACCATCTCTTACACAGACTGCGGCTATAATAATCACACTGCATACATTATCTGATCTCTTAGTTCTTTCAGTCATATATAATTTGTATGTCTGTAAGCTCATTAGATATCCCTTCGAATCTCATTTAAACTTGTAAAAAGCATGCATCCGCTAAGTTGGCGAACGTTGGATGTAAGCAGGCAAATAACCCTTCTGCGAAATCTCTCATACTTCACATAAGAGTGGAACTTCGCGATTTATGGGCTCTCATTCTAATCATCTACTAATTCTTGCACATATGGCTTGGTATGGGTAGAAAAATATAATTCAGGGCTACATGACTAGATCTACTAGTACCGATAAAGAACTAACACAGAAAGGTTTGTCTCCCTTAAGGCTTATTTATTTATTTATTTCTTTCTATTTAACGTCTGGCGGAAACTAACACCTAAAGGCTAGCTCCTGGTAGGATTCCTATAAGGGACAAAGGACGCTAGGGGAGTACCTTAGGCTATATAGGGGGCGTAAATAGGGTAACTAAATATAAGGATAAGGTTAGAGAAAAGCGCTACTTCCGGAGTAGTCTTTATATATTAATAAGAAAACAAAACATATATCGTATAGAGCCCCCTACTATATATTTACTACTACTATCCTACCTACGAGGCTAGTAGTATACTTTAGAAAACTATAAGGGGAAAAACTAAAGTAATAGTAAGACTTTACGAATAAGTTCTCTTTAGCCCCTTATTATATACCTATCTATCTACTAGGTACCTTCTACTCTTAGCCCGTAGAACCCTGCCTAGGTTAGGTCGGTCTCCTATAGCGTAATAGAGTTAAGGTTCTAGTAGAAAGGGCGCTATCTAGTAGAGTATTTAAGAGGACCGTATATATTATTTAAGAGAGGTCTATAAATAGACCCCTAGGTATCATTTAGTAGGGGCTCCGAAGAGCCCTTTTTAGTATATTTATAAGAAAGTAAACCCTCGAGTATATATATAAAAAGAAAGGGTCCGAGAAGCCGCTTAAGTATAAATCTAAAGCTATACCTCTACTTTCCCTTACTCTATTATCTCCTTCTCCTTCTTTATTTATCCTTCTTTTAGTAAGTTCTTCTATATCCTAATCCGCCGTAGATATTTCCGGGGGGTTCTCTTTAGACGTAGTAGCTAAAGTAGCTACTGGTTGAGATCTTATCTAGTTTTATAATAAAGTATAAAAGGGGCCTAATCCTTTATCTATATTTATAAAATAGCTTATTAAACCTATAACCGCGTTAGTAAGGAGGATAAGAGGTAGTCGAAGTGTAACGAATACTCAAACTGGCTAACTAAACTTGGCTGGGTGTTCGCTGGTTGGTATGCTATGATAAGAATGTGACGACACGTACGATGTGTTGCTCAAGGAGCGTCCAAGGTGTAGGTTATGGAATCTTAGAACTGTCTATTCGAAGATTCTAAGCTGAGGAGAAGAGGAGAGCTCGAGAGAGCTTGAGTCTAAATACAATGTGGTTCGCTAAGGAAGCCACGTGATATGAATGGCACGTGACGGTCAGAACCGTCACAAATACTAATAATCTTTATTATATATATAACTACCTAAGATATCTTCCTAAGGTAACTTCTATCTATTAGTCTTAATATTATTTATAGTATTAAATATATTTTACTTTACTCCTCATAATAGATACTAAATTAAAATAATAGCTTAAGCTCTAAAACCTTATTATATCGTTTAATAAAAGAAAGCGATTTGATTAAGGGCTCGCCAAGCACTCAGCTACACCTTGGCATCGCGCCTTTGCGAGACATCTATAGAGAAAAAGATATACTATCCTAGCGTAACTGTTACGGAACATGCTTGGAGCGTACCAGGCTGAACCCCTTGGCTCAGTTGACGTTCCTTCGCATGCCATGTGGCCCGTGCTTTGCCTAAGCGACGTTTCGTGATTGGTCAAAGGAGCCTTCCAGAACCTCCTGACCAATCAGGGTGCGGCATATATTAGTTAGCCACCACCACTCCTTTAAATAGTATCTTACTTTACATTCTGAACATTACACCTTACTGTGTCCCTGACAGTAACCTTCATCAAAGTCCTAGAGAAATATTCATAGAAGAACAGAACATATCAATCGAGCTTAAAGCTTTATTCTGGGCTTTTTACTGCCCAGAAATGACGTTGTAAACTCCTTCTATTCTCCTATATCAAGCCCCTTTTTTGGCTCGCTCGGGCACGCGTGATGTAGTTCATTGCGCCCAGGGGTAGCATCTTCATTCCTCCCGAGATACTATACTACAAGTATATACGATCGCATATCTGAATCAAGTTTTGAACTTTTCGATGAACTTAGCCTGGGCATGTGCTCCTATAGTCATGCGTCAGTCCTTGCGCCAGATACACCGGTTGTTCGCCGCTGTAATCGCAAGCACGCTACAATACTCAATAGCGACCAGGCTGGGATTTGCGTAACGGTGGACCTCTACTCCCTAGTAAAACACTCAATAGGGATTAATAAGAACTAGCCCCTATTTAGGAAGATAAGAGCCGGCTATTAGGTACAAACCCTTCCTAGAAACTAATATTATTAGGTAGTATAGCAGCTATAAAAACGATACTTCTTTATTGGGTTGAAAGGGTATTGGGTACTGAAGGTCATGGAGAATTGATTGCCTTGTAAAAGGTAGCTATCTAAGGTGTTTATATAAAGAGTGTAAGGTTTAGGCAGACATGAAGCATTTAGGCAGCAGAACTATAAGTGGATCAAATAAGGAAGTGGAGCAAAAGAGAAAGTATACCCAGCACAACATTCTTTTATTTACCTATTTACTAGTTTACTTACTTAGTTATTTACTTATTTAGTATCTGCTTACCTATATACTAAGAAATATCTACCTACCGGTCAAGCCACCCACCATCTAATCTAACTTTTCTAAATAGCACCGTCATAATCCTGAACATAAAGTAAAGGGTTACAAATGTTCCGTCTTAGATATGGCCAAGTATTCTAATGAGGATTTCTTCTAAAACTGTTTAGTGTGCCCATTCCTATCACCTTTTTTACTCATTCCCCCTTTTCTCCTCACTTGTTTTCCATATTCGCTTGAACCTCTAGAGACATAATTTCGTAACTGTTGCCAATCAGCTGTGATCCACAATCGGGGTAATCACGTGATCGACATTGGATATTATTATTATTATTATTATTCCTTTTAACGTGCTGTGTGAGTCTGAGACTATAGTAGCACGGCTGGGGGTTTCCCTCCA